TCCTTCTCCATTCTTCCACTGTTGGAATTTCTCCCTGCTTCCATCTTTGGGCCAGAAGTATCCTTGCAGCAGTCACTGCGTATTGAAACAGTTTACAGTCTCTCTTATTAATTTTGTTTCCTACCATTCCTAATAGGAAGGCCTCTGGTTTTTTCACAAACGTATATTTTAACATCTTTTTCAATTCATTGTATATCATTTCCCAGAAGCCTTTCACCCTTTTAGACTCCCACCACATATGATAGAAAGTACCTTCTTTTTCATTACATTTCCAACACTTATTGCATGTTTTGTACATTTTAGCCAGTTTAACTGGCGTTATATACCATCTGTAAACCATTTTCATTACATTTTCTTTCAGCGCAGTACACGCCGTAAATTTTAACCTTTCCTTCCATAATTTCATCCAGTCGTCATATTGTATATGATAACCAAAATCTCTTGCCCAATGTATCATTACTGATTTTACCTCTTCATCTTTTGTATGCCACTCCAGCAACATTTTATACATTTTGGACAGATTTTTATACTCATTATTCAATACCTCCGCTTGAAATTTTGATTCTTTGCCTTCATACCCACACATTTTACAATCTTTTTTAAACATTTCATTAATCTGATAGTAATGTAACCAGTCATAAACAGATTCTTTCACCTCTTCATAAGTTTTCATTTTCCATTCCCCCCCCCTCTTATTACCAATTCTCCATATGTTATCCACCTCCCCCTCATATCGATTTTTTTCACGCTCATCACTTCTAATGGCGAAATCCAGCGGGGGAGTCTACCTCTCCCACACCTCTATCAATGATCTTCGAAAGATGTGGTTTTCGAAACCTTTGTGAATTTTTTTCTTTTCATACCATAGATATGCATGCCAACCAAATCTGTTATCAAATCCTTCTAAATCTAACAACTCTCCATTCTCTAATTTAATCCATTCCTTTATCCAATAAGTTTGCAGGTTTCATCCCCGTAGGAGACAGCTGCATTGCAGGGGGTTGGACTAGATGATTATCAGGGTCCCTTCCAACTCTATGATTCTATGACCTTGCTTGCTATCTCACTTTCCTGTGTCTTTTCCCACCGCTGTCCTTATCGCAAAAAGCCCCCATCTTTGGGGGAAGTGGGCTTGTCGTGCAAAACCTCCCCAACTGAGTGTAATTGTGCAACCAATGGCTTCAAGTTACAAGAAATGAGATTCCAATGAAACATCAGGAAGAACTTTCAGATGGTAAAGGTAAAAAGAAAGATGGTCAGAGCTGTTTGACAGTGGAGCAGACTCCCTCAGGAGATGGACTCTCTCCCATTGGAGGTTTTTAAGAGGTGGTTGAATGGCCATTTGTCATGAACCAGGGCGCCATCTTGAAGAAAATATTGGGTAGGGAGGTCAGACAAGGAGAGTGATATGGGAGAGAGGTTGGGGACAGGGAAGAAGGAAGAAGTACAGCTGAAAAGAAATTGGTAAAGCTCTAGACAATAAATCTCAGGGCATTCTGAGGGGTGCCATTCTTGGATCAGCAGAATCTCAAGCCGTTGTCCCTCCTGACCCACCCATGTATTGGGCCTGAAACTATGCCAGTACTGGAGTTCCACTGTTTATTTCCCTCCCATTGTGATCAACCACTTTGGGAAGGGGGAAAACAGGAAGAGGAAGAACTAAAAATCACCCTCACCTTCCATCCTGGTCACAGTGAGCAAACAGGATTTTGAATGTAGCACAGCAATTGCCACAGTTTCAAGCCCCCTGCTCCCCGCTGAGAGGATTGTGGCATTAGAAATTTAGGTTTTACCCCAAAATGTTTTCCACACACAAAAATGTCAGCCTGAATGCATTTGTTTCCGTATGAATTCCCCACCCCCCACACTGAATAAATGTGCCCCTCACCCCTCAGCGGTCCTCCAGTATATTTATTAATCAACTGTGTAAATCTGCAGTCTAAAATTCCACAAGTCAGATCTGTTGCTACTGTAATGCCATTAACTTGAGCGTAACTACAGAATGGATTAATTGTTCCAGAATACTTACCAGCAGATACTGTGCTTGCTGACCCGGTGAACTCATATATATACACACATATAATTTTTAGAGACAGCACACATCAAAATCAGAACAAGGTTGTAATTTTGCATTAACGTTGATGTTAACATTTACTTTCTCCATTATGGAATACAGTATTTATTATTTTTATATCTCCCCTTCACACATAATAATCTCATATGTCAGCAAGATGAAATATCATAAACCTTTTTAAAGAATGTTTGTATAATAAGCCAACCAGGTATAAGTAAGATTTTTATAACAGTTTATAAATTTTAAAGCATGCAGTGAGGTTAAGTAAAGGGGAAACTGGGATAGTTACAGAAGGGGGGGCGGGAGCTGTGTTATACAATCCCACATTGTTTGTGTGTCTCATGGCAAAACTATTTAAATACTTGCACTTTGTGTAAAAATAATGTCCTGATTTAGGTAACCTTTTGCTAGCCTCAAGGGTCCAAAATCAATTTTAAAATTATTTTTGTTACATCTTTTAAAATGTAGACTTGAAGTTTTATAGCATAGCTTTTCTGGGAGTGGAAAAAAGCAGGTATGGTTCTTAATGCCTGAAAAGGAATCTGAAAAAGCAACAAAGACCCTACCTTCCAGAACGTGATAGATGTTCACTGAAAGTAGCAATAACCAACTTCCCACCACCCTAATGGTCTATATCTCAGTGTGGTTCTGTTTCTACACTATTGAGCAAGGAAACTAGCCATTGCACAACACAGGAGGCAAGCAGGAATACATGCCTGGCAATACCATTGTCTGGTCTTCAGTTCCACCAGCTTCAGTGTGTGTTGTTGCTACTACAAGAAATTGGCCATCTATGATCGGTAATAATAGAGGATTTCAACCTGCTTTCCATTATCTGAGCTGTGTGACTGCTACCACCTCTATTATAGTTGCTCTCAGGGTACTCTGGCAATGTGTAAAAACTCCACTATATGCATCTGGCAAGCAATTTGGTTGTGTGCCCACACAACTTGGAGGTCTAATCAAGGAACCTACTCTAATTGTGTGCAAGTTTTGCCTCTTAACAGAATGAAAGCAACCTGTCATGGCTAGTCTCACCAGATATACTGTAAAAATCTAGTCACCGCTAGACGAGTCCAAGATTTTTAATCGGAAACTTGCAGACAAGGTTGTTACTTGAAATGAATCAATGCTGGAAGAAATCAGAAATTCAACCACTGTTCCAGCTTCTCTATTTTTTATAAATATTTCAAGTAACAAAACATACCCATACAAGGAATACAGAGCTTACAAGTGGTCCAGAAAAGAAAGGAAAATATCAACTGATGGTTGTAATTTTAAACGTTCCAAGAGAGGCAATCAAATTTCAGTTTTATGCTAAGGACGTTGGCATGTTTGAAACATATGGCAACAGACCGGCTGGAATGAGACAGGTCGCAAACGTCTGAGCCAGAAGAATGAAGATGAAGCTAATTGGCTCTTCTCTGAAAGCACCAAGACATCATGAAATTTGGACAAGTCCTGAATTATATTTCTCCTTACAAAGCTTTAGTGCAATCTTAAGGTTTTGCTTTGGGGTAACCTACATTTTGATTTTGAATGAATGTGTGCATGACTTGCAAAAGTGTGCAAGTAAAATAAGCAAAATGTTTTTAAAATATTTTGTAAGGTATGAGGGGTGCTAGAAAATGTAATGTTCAATGTTTCCCCTTAACTTGCAAACAGGGGATCTTGAAGCAACATTTTAAAACTACTTCTAGTGAAAACATTAGTTCACATAAACTTCCATACCTGCTATTTGCGTTTTGTTTGTTGCTTTCTATTAAAATATATGGGCCATTCTGTTGCTCATCCATCCGTTTGGAGCTTCCTGCAGTCTGCTTGCGTTTTCACCACCCTGAATAACTGGGTGCCATTCACAAACTTGACCAATCCATTCTTCAATGAATTTAATCAAATACCAGCATGCGCATTTGAAAAACACCCAACAGATGCAGATGGCCCGATAGATGCTCCATAGACCACTGACAACCATTTGGTAATTAGCAGGTAAAAGCAACCTACTGTGGTCTGAACCACAAGCTTGGCAGTTTGAACAGCTCCCTTTGCTGTTCCCAGTTCCTGCCAACCTAGCAGTTCGAAAGCATGCCAGTGCAAGTAAATGGGTACCGCTGCAACAGGAAGGCAAAGGGTGTTTTGTTGCGCTAAAAGTGGTTTCATCATGTTGGCCACATGAAAGTTGTCTGTAGACAAACACCGGCTCCCTCAGCCTGAAATGAGATGAGCACCACACCCCCGTCATCTTCGACTTAACCATCCAGGGGTCCTTTACCTTTACTGTGCAAAGCACTTGAGTGCACTTTTACTACCAGATTGTGTATTCCTTCATTGGCAAGGATATAGTGTAGCTTAAAAGGAATCACTGGAACCAGCAACCAAGTGCTTACCCAGTCTACTGATTTCTTGCTGACAGTCCCTGATCCTTTGCCACTGGAGCAACTGCAAAATTTATCAGTGTATTATATTGGGAAATCCTAATGTGAAATGAAAAGATCTGTCTGCATGATAGATTTTGAAGTTATTCATGCAGACATTCAGCTCTCATGGAATACTGGCAACTTGAACTCCCGTTTCAGTACAATTTGCATAAGGGACAAAACGCAAACATTAGTCACCCAGTTTCAAAATGCCAAGCAAGAAGCCATGTTGAGAGAAATCTTGGCAAGAACTAAGCAGGAATATTAAAATCTTTCTGCTGACCAGTCGCATTACTGCAAAGTGATACTGAGTGTTCACAACACCTTGGTAACACCCTAATTTTGCGTGCTATGGGAAAACGTGAGATATGGATACCCAGGTAGTTGCTGACACCACAGTAGAAAAAGCTGGGAGCAGCTAAAATGGTGCCGTCATTTGGAGCAATGAGCACGGATCCTAGGCATGCCGTTTCTGCGTTTTTCTGAAATGACATCAGAGACCATTTTGTGCTTCAGCACAAACCCAAGTTTAATGTCTCTCTCAGCACATGTAAAAAAGCACCACACTGTGCTCTGTACTTGACATACCTGTTCTCTTGCATCACTTTAAAAAAAAATCCTTTATTTTCTGTACATTCATCTAGACTCTGGCCCATTAAACCTATAGCCTCAGTACATTTGTTCTTTCTTGCAAAGACTCTTATAAGAACCTTAACAGACTATGCTTGCAATCCTATTCATAATTATCTGGGAATACCACCATTAAACCCAAACACTGTTGAACTCAGTGGAGCTTGTTTCTCAGCAAAGTGCATGGAAATGCAGTGTTGTGTGGCCGCCCCCTTAAAACAGGCTCCCAGCCCGACTCTGATTGGCTGAGCACACTGCCTGCCCTTACCAGAGGGTCCAATGTGACCAGAGGTGGGCGGTGCCAACCATCCCCTGAAAGATGGCAGCACCTGCACTTTTTCCATCTTAAATTGGTATCCCAGCTAAGACCCAAAGCCAATAACCTGGCTTTAGTCCAGAAAATTCCATTACTGAGCAATATGGCAGCGACCTTGTTGCACTGGTTTGCTCCTTGACTGGGTTTTCATTAGCACATGTTCTACCTATACACCCCAGCATGGCATGGGACTTCCATATCAAAAAGGAAAACAAGGCTCTCTAAAGTGCCTACTTAATGGAGGGTGGTTTCAAAGAGTGTTCAAACCAGCTGTCTCAAACATGTCTGAAAGTAGAGACTGCATTATGTATAATCTGATTCAAGTTGCTTCCTGTATGGTTTTCTCAATAAACTTATTGAGATTGACATGATTACATACATACAAAACTGTCCTGGAAGGAAATGGGAGTAATCTATCTGTAGCCCCTCTACATAATTAAAGTCCAGAATGAACAACTAGTTCCATTTGAAAAAAAATGGTTATCTATCTCAAGACCAGCAAAACACAAACACTGTCAGGCGCAAATATATTTTATTGGTTCATTTCTTGCACTTGAAGTACTCTTCGATGACATCTTTGGCCTGAGATTCCTTGCCATAGTCCTACAATAAGACAACGCATTAATAAGACAATAAGCCAAATGTCAGAGCCCATTTTGGGGTACTAAAAACAGGGTATTCAGTAAAATAAAGTCAACCCATATTTAAAAACCAAAATGTAGCCATTTATTGGGACCTCAATGACTACCTAGTCTTCAAGGCTCGTACCCTGGCTTTATTACTGCCAGCAATAGTTTGCATTTCTGCAGAACACTTGAAAGTTAAGCAGATTTTATCCAGCTGGCAGTGCTGCCCATTAAACAAGAAAGGGAACAAATAATCAGTTTGTGCACCATTACAGAACAATCATTTAAAATGTTTTACTTATGAGAAATATGAGGTGCTCGGTTTAAATTTGGCAAGTATTTAGATTAAAAGAGCAACAAAATATCACTTAACTGTATGGGTAGGGAAATTGTATCTCTTTCAATATTCCCACATGCAGAAAGTCCCCTCTAACCCCAATTTCTCATTCACCCACCACAGGCGCCAACCAAAAATTTATTTCTCTTCAAACAGTAGCAAAGCAGCAAGTGGTGTGCTTCTTTGCTGTTAACTGTTATGCTGATAATAGTTAAGACATTCAGGTCTGGATTAATCAAGCTCAAGAGCTGCAATCTGAGACCAAAATGTAGGCAACAGTATGTAAAGGCACAATAAAACACTTAGCAAATAAAACTACTCTAAAATATGTACCCATTTTTTTTAAAGAGCACTTTCATCAACTTACTTTGACAACGACACAACTGCAGCCCACAACTTTACGGGGTTTTCCTTCTCTGTCAATCTTGCAGAGACCTACCCATTCACCCAGCTTCTTGTTGTCATCAACCTGTCAAAGATTTTTATATTCCTTTAGTACTGCCTTCAGAATAAGATGGTAAGCACAGAAAGCAAGCAAGCAAGCAAGCAAGCAAGCAAGCAAGCTGTACACTCAGAAATAAAGGGTAACGTTACTGGTTGTTCTCCTCACAAGTCTCAGTAGAGGGAGCCAAGTTATCATCACTGTACAGCGTGAACAGTACTTAAAAAGTCAAGCATCTAGATCAGGCATAGGCAAACTTGGCCCTCCAGATGTTTTGGGACTACAACTCCCATCATCCCTAGCTAACAGGACCAGTGGTCAGGGATAGTGAGAGTTGTAGTCCCAAAACATCTGGAGGTCCGAGTTTGCCTATGCCTGATCTAGATGCTACATTCAGTAGAAAATATTTTACCGAACAAGCAAAACAGCTTTTGCATTCAATTATTAATCTAAAAGATGTACATAATCATTACCTTTATCAGGTTGATTTGATGTTCAGCACAAAGTGCTTCAACCAGTTTGACATACATGGGCTCATCACAATTGGATGCGAGAACACAAAGGTGGGCTTGGCGTCTAAAACAATAGACCATTATTAGTTACACAGTGGACTACAGCAAAGATCCAATTCCATGTTGCTCTTCTGTTCACCCAGAGAGGCCAAATTCTACTGACTCCCCACCTGCAGTTTCCCCAAACCATTCCCATTAGTCCACAAATCAATAGGACATTATCTGGGCAAGTATAACAGGAAATCTCTTTCTGTGTGTTCTTTTAAAGTCACATGAGGGAAACTGGGATCAATATCATGGATCATAAACAGTATTTTTGTTTTCTTTATAGACTTTGAAGTTAGTACCAAAGAACGGCACAACCAGTATACTAGTGAATTTCATACCACTGCTGCAATTTAAATGTAGCTTAAAGTACCAGATGCCCAGTCAGTAACAATTTAGTCCAGGTTTTTAAATGTGTTTTATTTACCTAGTTACGAGTAATGTTAACACAACCAATTAGAATTTTTCAAACTACACTGGGTGCTTTTACTATATTACTCCCACCACCATGACCTTACTAGACTATTTGTAGCTCCTACTCTTAAGACCAATCTATATGTACAGGTTTGTCAGACTATTATTCTCACTCATAGTAAGAGTGAAGGGGTATCCGACTTTTTAAGAGAGTCATCATTCAAAACCTGTAGCTCTCATCTCAAACTGTTGAACACTTTTGTCCTGCAAGCCATAGAAGTTCTTTCTCTGGCCATCTTTCACTAATTTGTGAAGATGTTTTTATTCTAGCAGGCTGTTACCTGCTAAATATATGCTGTTTTAATTAAGTTTTATTTGTGGTCTCTGCCATGGTTGTATTTTAATCATTTTTACAGGACAGAAGGAATTTTTACTATTGTAATCTACCCTGAGCAACTTTCTTTTCACTCTTATAGGAAATGCCCGACCAAACTCCAACATGGAGGCACACATACTAGTTAACATCCAGCACTTACTTGTCTAAGGCTTTGGCAGCTTCACGAATTCCACGGGCTAAGCCATCGTGGATAAGTGCGGTCTTCAGCACTTCTTGAAGGGCGGTGTTGACATCCATTACACCTCCAGCAGCAATGCTAGCAAATGAAAAAACACAGAAGAACATGAACTTGCTTTATCTCACCAACATTCAACTAGGTCCCTTTTGCTGTTAACAGTGGCCAGCCAGATATTTTTGAACATTTAAATCAACATCTGGAATTGGACATACATTGTATCCAAACACTGATTCATTCAACTGCTACAGCAAAAAGATTTTTTTTGCACAAATCTGAACAAAAGGTCATGGCTTAATTTGTTAAATGCATGTATTTCTTAACAGAGCCTAGAGCAGCAAATGTCTAATACTTAAACAATACAATTAGAACTTCTAAAAACAACTTACTTATAACAGTGGCCTTTTTTGAATTCTAGTTCCTCCTGGCTACTCCAAAATATCATTTTCATTGACAATTTGGGTTTTAGGATGGCAGGCAATACCAGTGTCTTCTTATGTATATTAAAACTACTGAGAATTTCAAAAGACTACTTCTGGGTATCTTTTTAAAATAAAAAGCAACAGCAGCTTATACCTTTCCTTATAGGGGAGGTCTGCCCTTGTTCATCTTAATTGCACTTTCCTGAATGTTTCTGAATTCTATGATCTCATGAGAAAGAGCTACCAGAACTGTATGAAATATTCTACATATGGCCACAATGTGTATTTTTGTTTCCCAGATTGTTCTTTCCTAGAAGCTACTAAAATTGAATTTCCTACATTACTGACAACTTTTAAATGAATGTTTGGTAACACAGAATATTAAGTTTGCACACCACCTTGTTTAGTAAGCAACACTACCAGACTAATAAAATCTGTTTAAATTGTGTATGCACTATTTAAAAATAATGTGCCATGGAGTTTTTGTTACTTGCAAGCTTGCTAACCTCACTGATCAGCACCTTATGAAGCACAATGCTGATTTTAAGCTGATCAAGGCCATAAAAAGAATGAGGTCTATATGAATGGAGATAATAAGTATTGTTTCGTAAGTTACAATTCCAACTCTTCCACTCTGCATGCTGCAACCCATGAAGCTGTTGACTACAGCAAAATCAGCACCCTGATCATTTAATATGTGGGAGAAAGAGCAGTAAGCCAAACACTGGAGATATATCACTAGTAACAGTGGTTTGGGATGGAATTGTAAGGAGCTTATCAACACAGCCAATTACAACTCAGAACACTAATAAACATTCTGGGATAAACTTCTACAGACTTTAGTGCAGCTTTAGCCTTAAAACAAAGAGGCAATGAAAAAGACATGGAGTAACATCAAACCATAACACTCCCAGGCTGCCATAGGATTATGTTTTAAGGATAAAATAAGGAGGGTCACGTTGGAGGATCAATGCTGTAATAATGGCAATAGCAGTGAAGTCGACACGGGACAGGACGCTTTTTGAGTCTCTGCAGAGCAGGCTAAAAACCCCTCTGAAATTTGCCAGGACCATTTGCTGCTCCGCTGGGATCCCACGATAAATCAAATTAATGTTTACAGACGCCCAGTTTCCCATCAACCTCCCCATCTCACACTGGCGTCCAGGGGGAAAAAAACCCGCTCCCTTCACCGCATGGAGACTCCGGATTCGGGGGGAGGGGGAGGGGAGGAATAGATTGCGGGCGGGCGGGCGCGCACAGGTGTCCGCAAGGAAGAGGAAAGAACTGGAAACTTTCTTCCTGCAAACTTTCAGGCCCTCCCGCAACACCGACCGAGTGGCCTATTTTGCACTGAAGCGCCATGTTCCAGTTATCTGAAAGCGGCCGGAGGGGGGCGGGAAGAGGAGAAAGGCTCTGCGGGGCCTTCGCTAAGCACGTGGTTCAAGCGGCGGCGAGGAGAGAAACTTGGGCCCAGCCACGTGCAGCCAGAAGGCGAAGTCCCCGCGCGGGGCCCGGAAATCGGGGAAGAGAAGCAAGGAAGCTTCCAGGAGGTCTCGCCCCGCCCCGTCCCCGTCTGCTCGCACTTACCCTTCCTCGGCCATGGTTGGTGGTGACTCTCCCGCCCGGGGGGTGGCTGAAAGAAAAGAAGGGAGCCTGTTAAACGGGGAGCGGCAGAAAACGAGAGGGAGCGAACAGCAAAGAGAGTCGTCTTTCTTCTCTCTCCCCCCCCTCCCTAAAAACAAGGAGAACCAAGGGGGGGCGAGAGAGAGAGCGAGAGACCCGACACCCACCTCACAGCTTCCACGAACCGATGGTGAAAAGGAAGGGGCGGAGCAGCCCGCCCGCCTATTTAAGGCCGCGAGGACCCCGCTCTTCATCCCCGCGCAGCCGCACGCGCGCCTGCAGTTTTAGGCGTCCTACCATTTCGCCTGCTCGGAGGCGAAAAACAAACGGAGGTTAAAGCCGTTGCCGGTAGTTCATTAGGAAACCTTGCGGTTTGAGCTGAGCGAATCATCAGTTTGCCCTTATATAGAGGAGCGCCCTGGTCCTATAAATGCACACGGGGGTGCCCATTATATTGCCCGGCTGGCGGCAGCGGCTGGGCGCGCTGCCCCGAGAGACTGAGTCCTCCAGCTTCCCTGTTGTCCTGCGCAAACACGCAGCGCTCCTCACACTTGCAGGGCGAGACTTCTTGGCGGATACTGCGCGGAGAGGAGGAGGCTGCCTAATTCTCCACGCTGGATAGCCAAAAAAACACACACACACAAAAAGCACCGAATCATTCAAAAGGCACCGGCGGGAAAGTCGGCGGGCGGACCAGGCTGCAGCAAAGCACAACCCGAAAGAGCATAACTTCTCTCGAGCAGTCCCTCCGAGGCCTCCCTGTTGCCGGAGCCGGAGCCTTTCCTGATCGCCCCTCCGAGAGCGCTCCGGCTGCCGAAAGGCGAAAGCGCCTTCCTCGCAGCTGGCGACCCTCCACTTGCCATGTGGGGCGCTGAGGCGTGGGAATGCGGAGCAGGGCTGCTAAACCTGCCTGCCTTCGAGGCTCCTTGTTGCGGGTTGCTGCTCTTCTTTCTGCTCCGGAGGAGATTAGGGTCTCTGCGGAGACGCCCCTCCAGGGTCGCCCTCCTCCTCGCCAAGAGTCGCTTTTATTGTGGATCTTTCGGTGTCTCTTAGGTAGATTAAGCCGGTGTAGGAACGGATGAGTCCCGAGATAATGGCAAAAAATACGCCCCACTTTTCCTTGAAGCACCACCTGGGGATTGGCCGGAATGGGCAGGAGGGGCTCGGATTGTAAAGATGGACCTTTGCCAAATACCGTATTTTTATACCAGCGGTTTGCTGGGAGAAGTTTTTGAGGTTTTTTGTTTTTTTAAAAAAGCGCAGACAAAACCTTAACTTGAATGGTGTAGTCATAAGTTGGCCACATCACTGCCACACGTGGTAGCTTTGGCGCTTCCTAAAGGCTGCTTGGGGCGTTTGTGGAATGCCCTTCTGCGCAGAATCCAGAACGAATGCATTTGCTGGACTAAGATTTAGATTATCCAAGTAGCAAAAGTAGACTGCATCATGTCCTCAAAAACGCTGTGCTCAGCAGAGATGGCAGGATCCGGTGCAACACACAAGAAACAATGTGTGTGTGCTGTACATTGTGCTAGAAAGACGGAAACATTTGAGTACACTCTGCATATAAATTAGGAAGGTTTTGGTTTTTTGTATTCTTAAAACCCTCTGAGTGACAAGTTCATTTGTTATCAAGAAGTATATCCTGCCTTTCTAAAAGATAGTCAAGACGACTTACAACATACCAGCAAGGAAAGTGTAGTCAATGGTAATTATGCAGTAGGCAGTTATAATTCACAAAACAGTTGTTGGTAACACAGGCATCCCGGTACAGTATTGGTAAACCATTGAACACATATACCATGCAAATCATTCTTTGTATTGCTTTGTATTAAGTCATCTTGAGTAAGGAGGACAGAGGAGCATTAATTTCAATGGAATTTGCTTTAAGTAAGCGTGTTCAGGATTTCAGGCAGCTCATATCTCCTGATCCATCATGTAATGATTTGGGGGCAGATGTCCAGCCAGCAGAATGAGTAGGACTCTCCCCAAATGGGGCTGGCTTACCACACTCTGGAACACACATGGCCACCTAAAGGGGTGACCCTCTGGAAGGCATGGTTGTCAAACAATAGACATACTTAACTAACTGACCAATCACGTCAATTCTGCCCCACCCCCACAAAAATCCTGGCTACGCCCATGCTGGAAGGTCAATAAATGCAGAGTCTAAAATTACCAAATTGCTTCTGGTAACAAGTTATTTAAAAAAATAATGATTCTATCCTCATTCCAAAGATGCCCAAGCTGGCTAACAAACAGTAATACACACAGAATAAAAACAAACCTAATCCCTACAAACTCCCAATGCACACTGACCTTAACAAGTTATCAATAACTAACAATTCTGCCTTTGATTATAAAGTCAGTGATACAGAATAAGCAATTAACTATTTCTGATCTGACCTTGCAGTTTTGAATTTCTGCTTCTTCCATTATGTTAATGAGGCACAGCATTACTTGGAATACTATTGGCCATATTTTGCTTTAGAGAGAAAACTAAGAGAGAGTTAATACCCTTGATAACCTCTGAATCTCCACCAAGTGTCTTCATTGCTTTATTTCTTCTAACATCTTTGGCTTTTTTTCTTCTTGTTGTCTATCTGTGATGGAAAACGGACATACTTGGAATATTGCTGTTCTCTACTGAAAAGCTGAATCTTTTAATTTGTTTCATGTTTGAAGGAGGTGGGGTGGTGAAGTTATACCAGACACAATTACAACTGCTCAAAAAGAAATGAGATGCTTGAAAATGCTTTCTTCTTGAAAATGCTTTCTTCTTATTCTGTGGTCCATCCCCTCACCCCCTGCCCAGAGACATGCAAAAATAGCCATTGAAATACATTGGCTCCTTCCAGAGGAGGGCATCACATTTCTGAATGGCCATTGAAACCAGAGATGAGCTGCTTACATCACTGTCGCGAACGGGTCAGTTGCACCTTGGGAGTTGTAGACACCCACGTACCTGGGAGTAAGATACATCGACTTCAATGGGTCTCACTTCGAAATCAGGCATGCTTGCAGTCGCAGCCAAGTTAGTCCCAGTGAAATAGCTCCACCAGATTTTCAGCAAAACTGCTTACGGATGTCTTAAGTCATAAAAAACGAAAAAAAACCTCTTTTCAGCTGCAGGGTCACTTCTAAAACTCCCAGCAGCCTCAGGATATAAGACTAACAGTACCAGAGGAGGAAGTTTTACGCCTTTAAAAAGCCCCCACCCCGAGGAAAGATTGCGGGATGAGGCAACTTCCGAGCGCAGCTTTCAACTAACCGAAGTGAAGCCTGCCGGGATCCGGAGCGGGATCAGAGTTCGGCGCCGGTTTGCTTCCGAAGCTGTTTCCCCGCTGCCGCCCGGCAAAACCGTTCTGCCGAGTGGATGCCCCGGGCTTGAACCTACTGGGTCGCAGCAGCTGAAGTCGTTGCCCCTCCTTGCTGGGAAGATCCGGTTGTTACTTGTGGAAACCTGGGGAGCCATCGCGCTTTTCTCGCGGGGGGAGGAAGTTGCCTGAAGCTACAGCATCCAGCCTTTTCTTCCCTTTTCCTTATTTTACAATGGGCAGCCCCGAAGCGACGGGCGAGCTTCCAGGTGGGTGCAAAAATGTTCGGAAATGCTGCTGTTCGATTAGCGTCGCTTCGAGAGGTCTCTTTCCCTCTCCCCGCGCTCTCTATCTCCAAATCCCCGGGCGGGATTGAATCCTAATAGCGAGTTGTCCTACTACACACTTACTCAGAAATGTATCCCACTGGTTTTAGAGTTTACTCACAAGTAAGGGTGATAGGGTCGCAGCTCACATGCAAATAGCTATGCTTTAGCAGCCTTTTGCTGTACTACACTCCAAACAAGGTAATCAAAACAAAAATAACAAGGTTAATTGGCTATAATCCCAACAATTAATCCGTGTTTTTTTAAATTGTGGAGTTATATACAATGACGGGGCAGTTTTATTCTGGTAAATATACGTTGCTAGAGAGCTAATTACTTTGTGCCAGGCTTCCTTTCAACATCTCATTAATTTGACTTTTTGCCTTTTTACCTAACTATATACAGTTACATAGGAGTAAGTCTCATTTGACTCATTGGGGTTTACTTCTGAGTAGACGTACATAGCACTAGGCTGTTACTTTCCCCCACCTGAGCCAACTCCTTCCAATTTTATTCCCCAAGAAGTGAATAAAAGGGGGTGGTCTTAAGTTTTCAGTGTGTAAAGATAGCTGAATAGTAGAAATGACATGAGTCTCCGTGAAAAAATGATTGAATCACAGTAGGACACACCCACTGACACTGCAATTGCATGTGGGCTTATCTTACATTAGAACATGAAGGTAACAAGGTACAGCTATTTTAGACCCCTGTACTGCTAGCCTGCACATGTTGCTTATTTCATTGTACTATTAGACTTAGGTGTGGTCCTTTCTCAATGGAGCTCAGGGTGGTTCTTTCATACATTATCCACACAACCAAACCGGAAAAGTAGGTTATGGAATAAACCAGTGTGTGTGGCTAAACAAAGGTCAAACCCAGGTTTTGTCTCTTCATTTCTCCCCACTCTCAAATATTAATCTGCTTTCTGCAATAGCATTGTACTATAAATATTGCAAGAAATGGTCTTTTGAATGGAAGAGTTTACTAATTTGGACAAAATGCATGTATAGAAATGCATTCTCCTTTCCAATGTCAAACTTAAAGCTAGTACCTCGAGGATAATCTCCAGCTCACCATGTTTGTTAAGAAATATCTCTATGACTTGAGTTTCAAAAGCTCTTAGCAAATTAAGCATGTGGATCTTGATCATACCAGAAGACTTTCTCAGGCTAGAACAAAAATACAACCTAATATGTACTTTACAACTTAATAAGTTTCTTATTTCTACCCCTTTAGCGCAAGTTTTTTTAGAATGTTGGCCCAGATTACTGGACTCTGCAGGTGCAAGTGGATCAAAGGGAATTGCATTGGACTCTTGAAAAATCTGAACTTTTTTATATTTCTAATTTAACCTGTGAAAACTGTACATGTATTTGTTTCTACTTTTAAAGTCATATGCTATCTTGCTTTTTACGTTCTAAGAAATATATTGTTTTCCTTCTAAGACAATGACATACCACAGGTGGCAACTGAAGAATCCAGAAGGCTCTCTAAAGAACAGATATTTATACTGATAGCTACAGCATCTATCAACTTCAGTTCAATGATTTGCTACTCAATCCTCGGACCTTTTTTCCCAGTAGAGGTAAATGGATATACAACTTGGCAATCCAATGCTTACATCATTACAACTTTTAAAATGAAGACTTTGATAGAATTGCCTGATGACACTTTGTCCAGCAACATGTCTAACAAAAGTCTCGTTTCCCACCGTCTTTTAAAAATCAGAATTTTCCTTGCAATTTTCCATTGAATTGCAAATAAGGAAAAGTGAGGGAGGAAACACTATATAATTAGAATCATAAAAAGCAAAGGTGGAATACAAGGAGGGTTGGGAGGAAGAGAAGGTTAGAGAGGAAAGTGCGCTGTGGTGTTTGATGTAAAGAAAACCCAACATATAAACTGCAAAATGTTGCTGGTGAATCCAATTTCTCTACCCATAATTTTTTTAAATCTTCTAGTTGGGAAGTGTCTGAAGGCACTTTTTGCCATTTGTTCTCATGGATTATTATCCACCATGAAGGGTTGTGAACTCTCTAGACCAGGGTTGGGGATCTTGTGGCCCTCCAAATGTTGTCATCTGAGTTCCTGACCATTGGCCGTGCTCTCTGGGGCTGATGTGAGTTGGGAGTCCAAGAACTTCCAGAGGCCTGCAGATTTCCCATCCTTGCTCTGCTAGACCTTTTCCCAGAGACCTGTCCCACCAACAACTTTCTACCATGGTAGGAAATATTTAGATTTCTACTTTTCGTGTAGGTGCATTCGTACACCCCTGTGTATAAAATGCAGTGTGGGAAGCAGCTTTGAACCCATGCATAGCAAATGCCATATAAGCCGATATGGGGCATGTGGTGTGGTGTTTTATTTTCTTTCCATGACTAGGTGCAAGGCACATTCTCTTCTTCAGAAAATAAAACACCTTGGCTAAGTGCCTGGTAGATTGCAGGTCTGTTGCAAAGTTCTGCTCATGTGAATTTTGCTTTCTCTCCCCTCTCCCCATTCATTTGGTGCAGAGATTCATAGATCCACAACCACAGGGTTGTTCAGCAGCAAGCCAGCTGTTCTGCTATAGTGTTTCTTTGGACTTCCATGTCAATATTAAGGGAGACTTGAGAGACTTCTGAACTGGAATTCCAATGTCCACCAGCAATGTTTTGTAACAATTAAGCCATTTCATTGCTGGTATTTCTGGCTTGACGTAGATATTTTTTGTTCCAAGTCATTGTGTTTAAAGGAAACCTTTTCTCTGGTGGAATCCACACACACATAAAAACGCTGTAAAAATGCTTTTTTTAAAAAAAAAAAGGTTTAAAAATACATTGAATTTTGCATAGCTCACTATTTGTATATTACACTTTACAACACATTTAAAGCATTTTATTTGCATCTGTGTAGCTGAGTCCTCTTTTTTTCTTGTTTAAGGCAGAAAAGAAAGGTGCTAGTAACACTGTAGTTGGACTCATTTTTGGATGCTTTGCATTATTCAACTTCTTGACTTCTTTGATCATGGGAAAGTATGTAAGTATGTTTGACAATTTCCATAATGTAAGCTTTGAATATCCTCAGAAGAGCAATGTCATTTTCATTTGACTATCTTAAACTCCTGCCTGTGTACATCCTTACTAAGGTGTTCTAACACATCTAGAAAATCTCAAGCTTCCTAAATGAATTGCCATAAATTAAAGGGAAGGGTTTTCCATGCTTATGGAGTCATTACTTTGAATATCTTTCAGTATGTCCTGTACCCTTTGCAAACAGGTAGACTCATTTGAAAGGTCCTCTCAGCAGATCCCAGAATGTGATGAGACAGGAGGTCTGTAAAATTCATACCACCCAATGAATCCAGGTCACTATAGCCTAATACCCATTATCCTGAATTGTACAGACAATGAAGAGACATGTGGCTTGAAGCAATGTGTTCCCATTGAGCGTCATCTACCATCTGCTATACCAGTGCTTGGAGGTGGTGATGGGCTTAATGCAGGACAATAAATGGAAAGTGGATCCTAAGACGACACAGGTGTTATGTGTGGTGAGATCTTGAGTGCAGGAGGTATAATGGCAACTTGTTCTGGGCAGGGTTGTAGTTACCTAGACGGAATAGATCTATACCTTGGGAGGATCCAACATGGTCACTGGAGGCTCAGGTAGCCTTGGTGGCTAGGAGTGCCTTTTTCCATCTGTGGCAGGTTCACCCCCCTGTGACCCCCTCTTGGATAGATGACTTGACCTTTGTATTTGGACTACTGCAGTGGATTTATTAGCTAATGGTAGTGCTGTGGTGCAGCATGAAAAGTAGCAGCAGCAAAGAGTGTTGTAACAGTTAATTGCATCTGTTGCTGTTGTGAAAGTAGGTTAATTCACTTATCCATTTAGAATATTTTTAGGTGTGATAATGAGCTGGATGTAAATCTGTAGAGTGGGGAGACATTAAGCTCACAGATTTTTAATTTTGTTTTCATAAAAAACTGAAGGAAGAACAGTAAATTTGAGTACTAAAACTTCTATAAAACTTGCAGAAGCACTATAACTTTATTGTTCTGTAATTTGCAGCTTGTACAGATTGGTGCAAAGTTTATGTTTGTTGCTGGAATGTTCATCTCGGGAGTTGCCACAATTCTCTTCGGGTGAGTGTGTGTTGGGATTATGATGCATTTTAAAAAATAAAAATAAATATTATTAAAAGTACTTTATACGAGACTTCAACTCAGTAAGCTAGGGCCTAAGCCATTGCTGTTCTCCTGGACCTCATATATTTGGCAGGATATAGCCTCTGTTATTATTTTTTATATTTTTGGCCATTATTGGAACTCCATTTTAAAATTTTCCATGCTTTAAGAAATATAAATCTATACATCATTTGTATGATCCAAAAGATTACTTAAATGCTTTGCCCAAAGCTGCTCCTAACCCTTACATGCAAAAGGACACAGGCTGAAGATGTGGATATGGAATACTCTTGCCCCCAGAGTTCAGCTGAAACTGCAGGATGTTCCTAAGTCTCTGATGTCACAAGTCTGATCAGTAGGAAACTGGGATGGCTTTACTTTGTTATGTTTATGTACTGTACCATTGGCTTGTAAGTGTGCATAGTTAGGGATTTCTAGAGTACAGCAGTATTGCTGAAGACAAATTGGTAAAAAACCTCCCTTGAAATAATTGTTCCAAGCTTGTAGATGGCCTGGACTGGAAGAGAGTTTCTATAACATGGATTTTCTTGTTTCAGGGGGATTCCCCTTGAATAAAGGGTTCATTAATTTTTTTTTTTTTTAAAGAATCATTTATTTAAAAATGATATTTTTGGCCAAAGGTCAGTTGTGTGCCCCCCTCCCCGCAAGCCTCAAAGTATATAATTAGGTGCGTTCTCACATGAGGTGTTTAAAGAGCCTGCCTTTAAGAAAAGAACCTGCAAAGAAGTGCTGTTAAAAGGGAACATGGTATAGACTAGAGATATGGAAGACCCAGAAAAAAATTGGAAAAATTGGAGGAACACATGCCCCCCCCCAATCCTGGCCTTCACATTGCTAGTGCAAGTGTTATGGTTGGCAATGTTCATTTGCACTTCAGTTAAAGGAATCCATGTTTAGATGAACTGTCACAGGTATGGGAAATGCAAATAGTGGGTCCCAGCAGAAGTCTTGAAATTTGTCTATCAAATTCAAAAGGCAGTAAAAGAAAAACAACAACAACCTCTTGGGCAATATAGCTGTCCACAGTGTTGCTATAGTCGAAAGGCCGGCCACCTACTTAATGGGCGAACTTTCTGTACATTTTCCCCAAATGGAAACTAAGCTAAGGTTAGGCGTGGGATCGTGATGGAAATACTTACCTGGGAAACACACTGTGTTTGGATGGCATTGAGTTAATGTGGAATAGTACTTGGCCCCCTTCTCATTTAATTGTTCAAAACAAGAGGGCAGAGGGTTTTCTTATTCTTAGTACTGCTACTTCTGCAACACAGAGATAAACACTATCTGTAGCAATGCAGGTGTCTCTGGCTGTTCGAAAGCAGCAGTACCTTGAGAGAAGTAATAGTTGAACAAAACGGATAAGGGGGGAAGTATAGGGCTTGTGATTTGAGTGCCAAGGAGTTGTCAATTTCAATTGCTTTTGGCCATTCTACACATTTTTTGCTGAGTAACTTCAGACTGCCTGAATGTTTCTTGACTGTGCTCTTCTGCCTATACATTGATCTGCCTGTAGAGCAAGGCACATACTTACTCTTAATGTAAAGACTACAAACTGCAGGATTGCTTCCTTTCACATGACTGTGTCTTGGGGGTGGGGGAGGAACAGAAAGAAGGATCATATTAAGTGGGGCTACAGCAACAAAGCAAAATTTAGATTTCCCCCCCTCAGCACTGAACTCAAAGTTGAAATGGACTCTAATCTTAAGAGTAGCATTTCTTTACACTGGAAGAAACCTTTTCCACGCACGTCTGGTAAATATGTATTTCTTTAAATTGTAAACCTAATGTCAGTTGCCAGATGAGCAGCTTTTCGGAGTGATACCGATGCGTATCTTATTTTGGTTTCCTTAAGATGGTTATGGGTCTCTTTGTTGATGCCTGATGTCTTGTCCAAAGCAGCTCCTAACTTATGAACCTTTGCTTAATTGCAGTGCTTTTCTCAGATATCTTTTATGGATTCACTGCAGACAACAACTTTGCCAGGCAGATTTGACCTAATACTTGCCATAAGATGCAGCCTGTGCTACTTACACAAGAGGGCCTTGGCAACATGTCTGTTATACAAGAGCACTGTACTAGATGTTTATGCATAAGAGACCGAGGAGCTGCATTAACTTTTCTTTTGATTTTAGGATGTTGGACAGAGCACCCGATGGGCCGACATTCATAGGGTTGTGTTTTGCAGTTCGAGCCATGGACGCGATTGGCTTTGCCGCAGCCATAACAGCCTCGTTTTCTATTCTAGCAAAGGCTTTCCCCAACAACATTGCTACCGTTATGGTATGTATGAAGCCAGCAGCTGATTTTGAGTAATCACAGTTAATATGTAATGTGGCATGATACTGCTTTAAATGTGTGGCAGCATTCTCTGCAGGGTTCTAGGCAGGAGTCTTTTCCATCCCTGTCTGAAGAGACAAAAGGGGGGGGGAAGGGTTGAACCTGTGACCTTTTGGCTGTAAAACAGAAGTTCTAACCCTTCAGATGCTCTTGGGACCTCTTGGGACTAGGAGACCTGCATCACACAAATAACATCTTGGGTGTCGTCTCAATACACTGAAATTAACTTGGGAAAGTTTCATTTGGTAAGGGATGTTAAGATCGTGATGTTTTAATTTTGCATGACAATCACAAGGAACTAAACTACAAAGGCAGGTCTGTGTTGTTGCTTTAAGAGCTGACCTTTTAGCTGAATGCTGATAGCACCAAACCAGAAAAAATCATGACTAGATGATAGTATATAATAGCTTTCACTACACCATGTGAGCTTAGCTTTAGTATCCTTGGACCAATATTGTTGTTCTCTCCTCCCCTTTTTACTTTAAGAAAACAAGCTTGTACTTTACCATTGTGGCATTGGGGTAAAGATTTATTTTTTAAAAAAAAGAGATTAAAGGTTTATATTTACTCAAATGCTCCATAAGTCAAGGGAATAGTTAATGCATTCATAGAAGCAAAACTCAGCACTTCATTGATGCTAATGAAATTTGTACTTCTCACTAATTCTGTTCTGCTGCACCAACTAGGCCACCTGATCTGATGCCATTGTTGTCCTTTCTTTCTTTTTTTAAGGGCAGCCTTGAAATTTTTACTGGACTGGGACTAGTGCTGGGCCCGCCTCTCGGTGGCTTTTTGTACCAGTCTTTTGGCTATGAAGTCCCTTTCATCGTACTTGGGTGCCTAGTGCTGATCCTGGTACCACTGAACATGTTCCTCTTACCAAAATATGGTAAGTGGTGTCTTTATTGCCTTTCGGTTCGAATTGGGTTGGAACTTCCCTATTCTCCACTGTGAAGATTGTCTCTTGGAGCCTGTTTTTCCGCACATTAATGTAGGAAACTTTCCTCTCACCTGTGGTAATACTGGTGACGGTAATAGCTGTGCCCAGTCTATCTCGCCATGCAGACTGTCTCACCAGAGTGGTGCATGCTCTAGTTATCTCCCGCTTAGACTACTGCAATGAGCTCTATGTGGGGCTACCTTTGAAGGTGACCCGGAAACTGCAATTAATTCAGAATGCGACAGCTAGACTAGACTGGGAGCGGCCGCTGGTACCACATAACACCGGTTCTGAGAGATCTGCATTGGCTCCCAGTACGTTTCCAAGCACAATTCAAAGTGTTGGTACTGACCTTTAAAGCCCTAAATGGCCTCGTTCCTGTATACATGAAGGAGCGTCTCCACCCCCATCGTTCAGTCCGGACACTGAGATCCAGCGCCAAGGGCCTTCTGGCGGTTCCCTCATTGCGAGAAGTGAGGTTACAGGGAACCAGACAGAGGGCCTTCTCAGTAGTGGCGCCCACCCTGTGGAACACCCTCCCTTCAGATGTGAAGGAAATAAGCAGCTATCCTATCTTTAAAAGACGGCCCTGTTTGGGGAAGTTTTTAATATTTAATGCTGTACTGTTTTTAACACTTGATTGGGAGCTGCCCAGAGTGGCTGGGGAAACTCAGCCAGATGGGTGGGGTATAAATAATAAATTATTATTATTATTATTATTTATTATTATACAGAGCCCTTGTATTATAATAATAAAATAAATAAAATAATAACAATAACAAGAATATACCATTCTTCATCAAAACATCACAGTATAAAAAACAAAATACATAACATAATAGCAGAGAAAAAACCCCCAAAACATGCATACTCAGGAGGGTTTTTCCAGTCTATCTTGAATGCTAGCTTTGCTTTATTTCCCCTACCAAAGGACAGGACTGGAAAGGAGGAGATGCAGCTGATTTGGGAAGCATAGTAAAAAGTCCCTTTGGGTGTTGCAGGTAGTGGCTTTCTGTGTGTTTCTCTGATACTTTTGAAGTGCCTTAAAGCTGGAGATGAAATTGATGCAGGTTTTTGTAGCATTTTGAAAGCCTGAGAAACCTGTTTGGCCCAAGTCAAGATATTGGCAGTTTTGTTTTCAATTCTTTTCCCTAATGATCGCAATTGTAGAATTTGCCCTTTTCACTGCAGCCGTACATTAGCTCTGTTTTCATTGAACTAGCCATCATAACCCCAAGATTGCTTTCCTAGTAATCACTTCCACCTCAGAGATCCTTGATATATATGTATGAAGTTAGGATATTTTTTGCCCAAACGTGCCCCAGTATGCTCTTGTTTGCATTGAGCTAGCATTCTAATGTTCATTCCCCTAGTGCGAAGAGATCCTTTAGGAGCTTTTTGCTATTCCATTAAGTTGGTGTCGTCAGTGAACTTGGCTGTCACAGTATTCACTTCCTTCCTCTAGTCTAGATCATTTATGAGCAATATAAAAAATAGTGGTGCCTATTGATCAGGTGGGGGTAGAGGGGTAGGACGCACTGTTCACTCTTTGTTGCAAGAACTTTCCACTCCATTTATTCCTACTTTCTGCTTCCTGGTCTCTTAATCAGTTAGGGATCAATAAGAGAATCTCTGTGCTTTTCCCATGACTGCTAACTTTGCTCAGGAGTCTTGTTTTCCTTTGTCTTCCTCTGTTTTCCCAGTGTCAACTTTAAAAATAATAATTATTTTATCATTTTTTCGATACAAACAACAACCACAAAAGACACATACAACAAAAACCATAATAACAATAGTAACACAATTTGACAATTCAGTTTTGAATACACTGATATACCTATGACTACACCTTTTTAAACAATATTTTCCCACCTCTCTTTCCTCCCCCTACTTCCCACCACTATTCCCAGTGTCAACTTTAAAGATTGTATGCTGCTTTGGGGCAGGGCCCTATCCCAGTCTGTAACATGACATTCACACCGAGTGTGATTAAAATAAATAACCTGCCCAAAATGTCACTCTTTGTCTTGTTACAGATTCCACTCCTGGCAAAGATTCATTCTGGAAGCTTGTTGTTCTTCCAAAAGTTATTTTCCTCTGTTTAACTATGTTCACACTGAGTGGATGCTTGAGCTTTCTGGATCCTACCATGTCACTATTTGTCTTGAAAAAGGTAGGTGCAATGGGGTGAAAAGCCTTTCATACAAATGCTTCATCTAAAATTATCAAAATCAACTAAAATTATATAAGATTATCAATTTTGCAAGGGTCTTGGTGGGAATTTCATAAGGGTCAGTCGCAAGAGGTGTCCTAATGGCAGTTGCGGTCTTGTAGCTTTAAGGCCAGATGAAGTAGTGGAGTGGGAAATTCAGTGCTGCAGGTGGAGCTCAGCCAGGTGAGCAGATGACAAGCTCTTCCTCTCTATAACTGCAAAGTGGAGCCAAGTTAATTGAGTCAGTGGACATTCCTAGCATTCATAATGCTAAAGCCTAAGTGAAATAAACACGAATGCAATTTTCTGTTGCATCCTGGGCAGATAACAACCCTTAATAATTTTTGTTTGGTTTTATTTTTGTGTTTAAAGTACTAGGTTTAAAATAAATAAATCTGTTACTCATAACAAAGTTGTGCTTTGTGTTCCAGTATAATTTGTTTGATTTCAGACATAAGGAATATCTGAACGGTGTACAGAAATAAAATGTGAAACATCATGCTAATGATAAAAGAGTCTTAAAACTAAAGAACAACATTCTTTAAATGCAGAGATTAAATAGGCTAATCTTGGAGTAAACTAAAAGTATTCAGCAAACACTGAAAATATTAAACTTTTGGGGCTTGTTTCACTTCTAAATAAGAGCCAATTTCTCTACCAGTGCGTTTTTTCATTTTGTCCAATTTTGTTGAGGTTAGAGATGGGAAGGTCTGGGAAAAACTGGGGGGGGGGGATGCAGATTTTTGCCTGTTTCCCCCCAAAAGCAGTTTTTTTCCCATTTGGAAGAAAATGGGGGGGGGGACCCGCCCCCCATTTTCCGGGTCTTTTCCCAGGCATTCCCATCTCTAGTTGAGTTTATTTTTCTAAAAAGTTGCAAGTTTTTCTTTTAAAAAAATGCAGAAATGTTGCCTTTTCATTTTTATGTTTGTTTGTGTGTGTGTATAAATTGCATAAGAATATATTGCTTGTAAATCTAACTTTGCCCTGCTGCAACAATGAGCTTTACTGAGGGTCAGATGCTATTTTTATGAAATACCAAAAAATCTGCTTTCTTTTTCTAGTTCAAATTGCCTGCTGGTTATGTGGGATTGGTCTTCTTGGGGCTAGCACTCTCCTATTCCTTATCTTCACCATTGCTTGGTTTTCTCAGTGATAAATTCCCGGTGAGTTCAAAATCCTGCTGTGATTCTACATTATAGAGTGATTAAAGTTCAGTAGGCTTCATAATTAGAAATTCCTGTTCTGAAGTCAAAACACAACCAATCCCACAGGCCTCACTGTGGGTAAAAACAGTGGTGCCTGGCACCCATTTCAGCCAAGCCATATCCCACTGCCCATTATGTAAGATTTTGGTGGTTGTTCTAGGTCCTGGAATCTCCGCAAAATGAAGGTGCCCCCTTTAGACAAATGAACAAGGAAAACTTTAAATTAATGTGTAAAAGCTGCAGTGACAATAGAAAGCTGGAAAACCAACCGGTTTTGAAATGACTCCATCAATCCCAAAGACTATCTCAAAGTATGAGGCTGGATGCTGGTTTTGTTTGTTTATCACAGCCTGTCCTGAATGTCACTGTTCTGCCTTAGAAAATATGAAGTGACACTTATAAAGTACATAATTTTTCCTCCTGTCAGTTGAATTAATTCAAATGTAGTTATTTTGACAAAATTCAAGTCTTTCACTTCTGTTTCTTGCAGTACTTAAGGAAGTGGCTAATGATTTTTGGAGGCATACTGACAGCATTATGCTACTTTATGTTAGGACCAGCTCCCATCTTGCACATTGAAAGGTAATGCACACTTGATGAATGTGTCTCTGGCACTGGCAGTCTGCCCGTGTTCTGAAGCTTTCATACTTATTCACAAATCAGTAAGCAGGGCAGTGTATGTTCTGCCCTCAAATATTCATATTTTGTACCCCAGAGTTGTTGAATTCTAACATCACATACAACCTTACAACCTTATTCAGCCTGTACACAGCCTGCTGTTTATTCCGCCAAGAAAAGAGTGTGTACTATTGAGCTTTTGATATTCCTTCACCCTTACTTTTAACTTGAAATGTTTAGAAGCATGCACTCCCTTTTTGAAAGAAAAATGAAGACATTTACTTCCAACTCATTTGTGTCTAAGGAGCTTGGGAGATAGTGTAAATGGGGGTTATCCCAGCAGTTAATGCTACAGATGCAAGCTTGGCCTTCCCAATTCATGCCCAGAGTGTCCTGACAAACAATATTTTCTCATTCTGTGGGAGGTAAATTTGAGGTCCTTTCCTTGAGCTAGTTATGGAGGTGACATAACAGCATCTTGTATGCTCTTAGGCAAGTTGTCATGCCGCACATTGCCTCTCAACTCCTCATGGCAAACATAATCTCTGAACTACATTTGGGAAGCTGTTAGAATATATTATTACTAATACTGCTATGGGGGGGAGGGACTCCTATAAAAGAAATGTTGTTACGAATGCTAAAAAAAGTTAAGATATGAATTAAAGGTATAATGAAGTGTGTGTTTGCTTATTATTTTATTTATTAAATATGTATCCAGTACCTTCCTCCAAATGAGGAATGTTGCATCATTTCCTCAACTTATTTTAGGATTTTGATTTCCCTCCCCCAGCAAACTCTGGCTCTTTGTTCTAATGTTGGTCCTGATGGGTTTTTCCCTTGGAATGAGCGGTATCCCGATATTCCCTGAAATGCTCAATCATGCATAGTAAGTTATCGTCTCTCCATACACTTTGGGGAAAAAAAATGTTATTTGACAGCTCATTGCAAGCGAATTGGAATAGGGTTCCCTTGTTCTGTAGTGAATTCCTTTGATGATTATAGATCTGTGCCAGGATACTTTATATTGAGAGGCAGAGAGTCTGTTCCTCCCAGATGTTGTTGGACTCCCAGCCAATATGACCCACAGTTCAGAGATGATAGGAGTTGCAGCCCAGTAACATCCAAATGACCACAGGTTCTTCACCCCATTTCATATGCAAAGCTAAGACAACATATGAATTAAGATGATGGCAGTGCTTTTATTTTTTAGAAGAATGGCCTCCCTCCCTGAGCTAATGAACCCTTTCCCCAGTGCGAGTACCACTGGAGTACCAGTGTGGTACCTTTCACTTGCCACAACCACGTCTCACTACAGAATGAGATGTTTCATGGACGTAGAGAAGATTTTGAAGAGACAGCACTTCATTCCTTTATTCTTCCTGCAGGAAAGATTGCATCTGCCTTTGAAAGACGAGGCAGATCTGTTTTGGATGCTGCTACTTTGTGATTCTATGACTTGTCTTCCAAGCTGCAGAGCTCCAAAACTTGCATTTCAAAATAAAAAGTTGGTACCTTTGGAAATGATCTGTTTGTTTGCCTTTCGTCCTGCAGTGAGAACGGCTTTGAGGAAGGATTAAGCTTGTTAGGCCTGGTATCTGGACTCTTCAGCGCAGTATGGTCACTTGGGTATGTAGAAGGTCATGGATTGCCTATCATTTGCACGCCCATGTCCTCCTCTCTTCTCCGTGTGTTGATACTTACAGAGCCAAAGCAACCCTGCTCACTCACAGGAGGAGAGGTCTCAGTAGGTTTGGAGGTGGGGGGTGAGTACAAAACATGAGTTTACGTGGGTTGCATAAATAAGAGTTCCATTGGAGAAAACCCCAAAAATATTCATTGTGTAAGAATGTGAGTGCTGTGTGCAGGGCCGGATTTAGGTTTGATAAGGCCCCAAGCTACTGAAGGTCCAGCTGTCCTTTGTCAACAACAAATTGTCGCCATTTTTTGTGTTGAATATATGCTATATATGCCCATTACTTACACAAAACACTGTTGCTGTGTGTAGGTTTTATTTTATTTTATTTGTTTCTTATCTTCTATTTTGGAAATGTACATCCAATTTTCCTTCCCCCCGTTTAAATGTTTTGGGTGCCCCAAGAGAGTGGGGCCCTAAGCTATAGCTTGTTTAGCTTCTACGTAAATCCAGCACTGGCTGTGTTATAGTGACAATGGGGAAGAAACTAGAGGGGAAATCATACAAGTAAAAAAAAAGGGCCCTTTCAGACTCCTAACACACATTTCTAAGCCTCTGTTCGAATAATTCAAAAGACCTTTTTGTTTCTAGAAATAGATACTGGACTTGATCCAACTGACCACGAGCACAGCTCAGGACTCAAAACTGTTTTGACCAAGGGGAGGGGCAGAAGGGAGGCATGCCCAGGTCACCCATTCTTATAGTTGTTTGATTAGGGGCACGCCCCTGATGCCCTTTGGGGCTGGTTTGAGCCCATGCATTTCTAGACTCTGTGGCGGCATTAGGTGTTCTAGGACACACCCACAACCTAAATTTAAAGCGCAAAGCTTTCCCACCCCAAAGAATCTTGGGAAACGGTAGTTTGTTAAGGTGGTTGGGAATTATAGCTCTATAAGGGGGAAACAGCAGCTCTGATGATTATTTGGGAGAAGCCATAGCTATTCGATTGGTAAAAATGTGCTTTAAATATACCAAAATTGTGGAAACCTTTTGGGAAAAGTGTATTACTGAGGTTTGATGGCTCATAATGCCACTTTTTTGGAGTAATACCGTAAAATTATTCAATGGAAAGATAATTTAATGAAGAATGCCGTGCAACAAAGTTTGTTCAATTTTCTGTATTCTATCAAAAGAAAAGGGAAGCACAACTTGCTTAGGTTGATATGCAGTAATTTCCCCTCATTTGAATGTAGCCAATGAGCATGAGTGTTTAGAGAGCCAATCGGGTGTTATGAGCCTTCGAACCTCGGAAATACACTTTTTCCAAAAGGTTTCCACAATTTTGGCCACTAGTGTGTGGTGTGGATGTGAACCTAGGTAAAATAATTTATCTGGATCCAGAGGTTATTTGTGACATGGAGCAGAGGATAAGGGCGGGAAGGGTACCAGTTCAGAAGACTGGAAAAATTTATTGGAAATCTAGGTTTCAATCCATGATAAGTTAGTTGCACTTTGTGAAAAGTTACTCTTGACTAAGTGAAGTCCCTTTGAGAACTAAGTGTGACTAATGTAATAATAGTTTATAAACTCAACACGTTTTGAGCTGTCAACATGTTTTTTTAGGGGCACTAACTATGCAAACCAGTCTTTTATAATATCTTGGGCTAGTCACACCTTTCTGGTCTCTTGTCTTGCAGAGCATAGTAAGCAGCTGCTGCTCTGGCAGGGGGCAGAATTACCCAGGATCCTTCCAGTGGCCCATACTGGGGGGGGGGGGGGGAGGGATGTTTTCGTTTAGCTTTTCTTAAGAAGTGGTGCAAATTCTTCAAAGCACCTTGAATCATAACCCAGGATGCAAAGTCTGTGCAAGCTGCATTGGTCATTATTTCTCAGATTTACGTTAAATGTGTGTTTCGCTTCCTTCTCCTAGGTCTTTTGTAGGTCCAACATTAGGTGGATTTCTAAACGACAAGCTGGGTTTTGAATGGGCTGCAGCCATACAGGGTGGATTTGCGCTGATAAGTGTATGTAAACCAGTGTTTTCTTGATATGAGTTTTTATTACGTTTGTCTCTGAAAGTGTGGCACATTGCAAATATACTATTTGTTTTCTCTTCAGGGGTTAGCTCTTGCAATATATTATATCTACGAGGCCTTGCACAGAAGAAGGTACTGTGACTACTTTTTTTATTTTAAAAAATGAATTAAAGGGGGAAATGACTATTTTCATTTAAATGTACAAATAAGCATTTGAGCAAATTGTTAAGTTTTTCCTGCTTTGCTTCTGGATTATTCAGCTCGATGCAAACTAAAATTTATTTATTTATACTTATAGCCCACCTTTCCCCCCCAAGAAGCTCAAGGTAGCATACAAAGCCCCTTCCCATTTTATTCTCACGACAACTCTGTGAGGTAGGTTGGGCTGAGAGAGAGCACTGCTGCCCCAGAGTTGCCCAGGGAGCTTCATGGCTGAGTGGGGACAATATTTTTAACAGGAAAAAGAGAAACAGCAGTAGAAAGACACAATAAGTCAGAAGCCAGACTACAAATGATTTCAAAGGCCTGGGTAAATTAAAAAAAGGCACCCTCTATGAAGAAGGAACCGAGCGAGCCTCTGTGAGGAGACTATTCCACAACTGGGATACTCCCCTCACTGCTATGTTTTCTATCAAAATACAGCTGCTGGAGGTGGGGGAAGCTGATCAGGATAGGGGTCATGGCATAATCTTGATGAAATATTTCATCTAAAGCTGCTATTTCTCACAAGAGGAAAGTTCCCAACAGCAACTTCAAGGCAGCTTCAGGGAGAGAGATTTTTCCTGGGACTGAGGCATTGGCTGGTTTAGCTCTGGCACTTAGCCATATTAGCTGTGGCAACTTGTTTTGATTCCCCCCTCATTCAAGTCCAAATATTGCTGTGTCATGGTGGTGAGTGAAACAGTGTGTGTCATCACAGCCACTAAAACTAAATCATGGTTTGCAAAAGAAAGAGGAAGGAAGAATGTGAAACCGCACTGAAGCAACACAAATCCATTTGCAGCTCTATAGCCTTCTTCCCTTTTAATAGGCAATTTTTTGTGGGCATTTTTAAAATTTATTTTGCCTTTCTGTTTTAATATTACTGTGGATGCTGAGAACATTCCAAACCTTGTCTTTCTTCTTTTGCACAGATCCCGTCCCCAAAATCTTCCAGGCACAGAGGAAGAAAGGGCTCATCTTTTGCCAAGTGCAACGTAGCTGGAAGCCTTCCCTGCTGCCAGTTTAAAGCTACTTTTGTACGGATAATTTAGGAGCTTGATACACAGGCAAGAAGCAAGCAAGCAACTGAAGGTGGCCACCTTTGCCTCATGCCACATGGTGGGCTGTAGGTTCTTGACCGCTGTACTGTGGCATTCTGTTTCTAGAGGGAATGGCTGTGTTTTTGGACAGTCGTGTGATAGACCTCTTTGGGCTGGTTCTACGTGAGAGCAGCAAGGTTGTCTGGCGGGCAAAAGTACTTTGCACAATGTGAAAATAATACATTCCACTATGTGAAATATGTTCCGTAATGCTCTACTTTTGTACTCTAATATCACCGATGGTCAGCACTCAATAAACTTAGTTTCTTCGAAAGTGTGTGAGATGTTCTAGGGCATTTTGCTAATATTTTTTTTAAAGATTAATATTCTTAGAAACCTTTAAAGGTATATTGTGACCTAAAACTTTTGTCTGCCTGCTAATTTAAAATAAAGAACACTAAAAGCTGTTTTATGTGTACTTTTTTCTGAATGTGGAAAATTACTGATTGTCTGAGAAATTGATTCGTGTCCAGCAAAATTGTCCTGTTGATGCAAAACCTTTTGCTTGTGCAACTGAACTTCCATTCCCTTTTCTCTTTCTCCACACACCCCAGTTCTCTACTGTTCTGGTGGCTCACTGTAGCCCACCTGAGCAGATTGGTGGTGGGATTTAGAGAGAGGGGAATGGAAGGAGAAGTCATTCTACAAGTGGAAGCCCTTGTGCAAACAGGGCAGTGTCCTTAGATGCCCTCAACATGCCCCAGCTGCTTGTATTGCATGCACAGTCTAACCCCAGAGAATTGTTTTGCATTCCAGTGTGTGTGCTCAGCTCCAGTAAATGTGGACTTTCCCATTACCTTCAATAAAAGAGACAAGCACATTCCTTTTGCAAGGTGTAGAGCTGCCCTCTTCATTTGAAAAACATTGCTTCCTGTTTTGTTAATTATAATAATTTAATAATAATTTATTATTTATACCCTGCCCATCTGGCGGGGTTTCCCCAGCCACTCTGGGCGGCTTCCAATAAAAAGATTTAGAATACATTAAAACATTATTCATTGCACTTATATCCCACCGTTTCCTCCAAGGAGCTCAAGGTATACGTGGTTCTCCACCTCCTCATTTAATCCCTTCAACAACCCTGTGAGGTAGGTTAGGTTGAGAGAACATGACTGGCCCAAGACCACCCAGTGAGCTTCATGGCTCACTGGGGATTTGAACCTGTCTCCAAGTTTCTCGTCTGACACGGATCCAGCAGACATTATACAAGAAAGAGGTCTTGGAGGAAATATGCATGTGGGTACCTTGCAAATAAAAATCTAATTCAATGTAGCCATAAAGTTGTCTGGCTTCTGTTGAAGGTAGATCTATGACTCCTGTTAGCAGGCAGAATTGCCCTTCTACAAGTGGATGGTGGGGCTCTGCCAAGATGGCATTAAGCTTTGAGTTTCCCTAAATATATTAGTTCTCTATTTAATAAGATGTTGTTGAAGCTTATCGGAACATAAGACGATGCTTTCTGCTGAGACACACACCACTGGTCCCTTAAGGGATTGTGTACACACGGGATTTTCAGTAGCTCGGCAAGATGTTTCCAATTCCCAACTGTTAGCACTAGCAGCAACCAAACAGATGTTCCTACCTAAACGTAGCCTGCTGAAATGAAAGCGAAGCAAGAGAGGATTTCTTTGCAAAAGGACAGGCTCTGCTCTTATCTTGAAAAGTTCCTTGGCTCCAAACGTATTCAGAGGCACACTGGGTATTTGTTTAAAAGCACTTTTGAACTGTTTAAGAATGCATACAAAGCTATACAAAAAATGCCCCATAAAAACAAAGGGTGGGATTCAACTAAATGAGTCTCATCAACGGAAGTCCTTCACAAGAACTGGCACAATGGGGCTTCTAACCTTTCCAGTGTGAGAGCCAGTGTGGTGTAGTGGTTAAAAGCGGGAGACTCGTAATCTGGTGAACTGGGTTCACGTCTCCGCTCCTCCACATGCAGCTGCTGGGTGACCTTGGGCTAGTCACACTTCTCTGAAGTCTCTCAGCCCCACTCACCTCACAGAGTGTTTGTTGTGGGGGAGGAAGGGAAAGGAGAATGTTAGCCGCTTTGAGACTCCTTCGGGTAGTGATAAAGCGAGATATCAAATCCAAACTCTTCTTCTTCTCTTCTTCCTCCCTCCTGCATGCCACCTTAAATTGCCTTGGCGGAAGGGGTCAGGAAACAGCATTGGGGGTGTGTGTGTGGAAGGGGAGACTGTTCCATCTGGCAAGCCAAAATACAGTGGAAAGATTGCCTTAGAAGGAGATTGAATAAAATAATGATTTATCGATAGAAATTCAAACTGTGTGTGTTGGGCTGCTAGCTCTGGAAGGTAGATCTTCCTGGGCTTCTACTTCAAATAACAAAATGCACAAAGTAGATTTGGCAAGCCTGCCCAGCCTCAGTCTACACTGCATTGCATTTCAGATACGATTCTCAAATCTGCCTCAATATGCCAGGGATCAATCTGGAGCCCCCAAAGCAAGTTCTCCATCACTAAGCTACGGTCCCATCCCCTAGGCACAGAGGAAGATCTCTGGTCACCTGCAGGTCGCATAGGGAGCCACCAGCATGTGATTTCAAAAGATGGCAACAGAGCTTTCCCCCCCATGAAGCATCATCACCATCATCATCATCACCTAGCATGGTGATGACTGGGTGGGAGGGAAGGACCAGATGTTGCAGCTGTCCTTAAGGAGGACTGGCCACCAACTTTTGGGAGCTGTGAGCAAGTTCGAGGTACAGTACTTCAATAAGTGAAGTATAATGATAACTGAAGTATAACACGGGACAAAGGAAGCAATGTTGCCACAGAAACTCTGCCCCATGTTCTTGTTGATCTCTGCATCTGGGATTCAAGACATTACCAGGATCCCATGAAAGTCTTACTGAGTGATTCTGCAGGAAAAACCTGCTGTGACTGCTCTGACTTTCAAAGTACAGTGGTACCTTGGGTTAAGTACTTAATTCGTTCCGGAGTTCCGTTCTTAACCTGAAACTGTTCTTAACCTGAACACCACTTTAGCTAATGGGGCCTCCTGCTGCTGCTGCACCACCGGGGTACGATTTCTGTTCTTATCCTGAAACAAAGTTCTTAACCTGAAGCACTATTTCTGGGTTAGCGGAGTCTGTAACCTGAAGCGTATGTAACCTGAAGCGTATGTAACCCGAGGTACCACTGTAGTCTATTCACTTTTTTAGGATGAATCTTCGAAGCACGAATTTCAAGTTCTTTGCCTGTTTTGATGCACCTTCTCCAGCCCTCTGCATGAACTCACCAGCTTTAGATTGGCAGCGCTTGCTTTTAGGTCAACAAACACCGTTGTTAGAAGAACCTGCTTTCCTGCCTTGCGCAAGACTTTAATCCAAGGTTAATTCAGTTTGCTGGGTTTGGCAATCTGTGTTTCACAATTTTACCTCTGCATAACTGGAGCTTCAGGGACTTCTTTAAAAACCAGGTGACCTCCTAGTCTTTCTCATTTTGAGCAGCAGACGGGCAGATTCCATCAGCATGGCGATCTTCCAGCTTCACATTTGTGCTCTGTTTCTGATGGGAATGATTCTCCCTTCTTCTGCCTTAGAGGATACCTTCCTTGCCGCTGTCTATGAGCATGCTGTGATACTGACAGGAGACACTCCGAGAAACGTCTCAAGAGCAGAAGCCTTGGAGCTGATGAACAGAAATCTAGACATCTTAGAAGGAGCCATCAAAACAGCTGCCCAGCAGGTACTACTGCACACCAGTTAGAGCAGATCAGCAGCAGCAACATCAGGGACTAGAAAACCTTTGGTCCTCCAGATGTTTCTGGACTGCAACTCCCCTCATCCCTGGCCACTGCCCATGATGCTGTCTGGGGCCAATGGGAGTTGGAGCCGAACAGTATCTGATGAGCCACAGATTCCCCCACTCTGAGTTGGATAGCAACCTTTTGATGGCAGTATTTGTCCTGGGGTTAATATGTCTGAACTGATGTCTTTTTGCAGGGCGCCCACATCATTGTGACACCTGAGGATGCCCTTTATGGCTGGGTCTTCACCCGAGAAACTCTATATCCTTATCTGGAGTATATACCAGATCCGCAAGTAGACTGGATTCCATGCAATGAGCCAAAAAGGTATTTTCTTGCCTATTTCATGTTATTCCTTAAGATAAAAACAGAAGCAGCTCCTGGGTGTAGCTTCAAAATCAGAAAATATGACTCAGAGTCTTCTTTACAAACACACCTTCATTTGTTGTGGTGAAGTAATAGTGGAGTTCCCTGGTGCTTTTCAGGATACGTGCAGAATGGCAATTCCAGTACAATGTGGCATTTGTTCCTTTTTTTGGTTGGTTAAGAAATCCTGCCTAACACTATTGATCTGTTTAACCTAGAGAAGAGGAACTTAAGGGAGACATGGGAACAGTCAGTCCTCAAATATCTGAAGGGCTCTCTGTTACTCCAGAGTAGGACTAGAACTAACAGTTGGAAATGGCAAGGGAATAGATTTCAGTTAAAGAAAACTTCCTTACAGTAAGCTGTTTGGCAGTAGCACAAAGGGCTTAAGGAGGTGATGAGGAAGTTAAGCAGAGGCTTACACAGAGGCATGCTGTCATCAGGCAAGTCCCAGCAAAGGAAGAATGGATACAAAAACTTATGGAATATGAAGAAATGGTGAAACTTACCGGAAGAATAAGAAATCAAGATAAACTTTTTATAAGAGAATGGAAATGGTTTATTGAATATTTACAGATAAATTGTAAAAAGATTTTAAAAAACTGGCAGGATTATTGTAATAACCTGCAGCTACATAAGAGTATATATATATATAAAGAAAATAAATAAATGAGCAAGTTAAGTTAATTTGGATATGCAGAAGATATTAAAAATAAATTTAAGGAACCACAGAAAGAGGGGGAAGGAAATCAAGTTTTAAAATGACTATAAAATCAGTGAAATGTATATATCTGAAAAGCATAATTTTTTTTTAAAGGAATGCTGTTCTCAGGCAAGGGGGTGGGCTGGGTGGTTTTTTGGATCCCTTCCAACTCTATGATTCTATGTTTGCATGCTTTTATTTATTTAACAAAACTTATTTATACTGCTGGATTGTAAAAAGCCTCTAAACAGTTTACAAGGAGATAAGATGAAACATTGCAGATTATAGATTTTAAACAGTTTTTAACAGGTTTTTTCAAAATATATGAACAATGATTAGAATCAACAAAAGCTAAACACACACGTAACATTTACATTAAACAAAAGTATAGTAAACAGGTGCCAAAAAGAGTACAGGGACAGTGTCTGCCTGAAGTCAATTGGTATGGGATTCCAAATGAGAAGATAAAAACCAGTTTGAAAATTCATAGCATTCTGTATGCCTGGATAGGCTTTCTGAATTAAAATATATATTAAGCAGGCAGCAAAAAGTACAGTGATGACACCTGCCTAAAAGATTTATTGCTTATACATGACAAAATGAGTATAATGTACATGCAACAGTGCAAGTTCCGCAAGTCAAAGCAGTTGTCTGGGCAGATACAAGGTAGGGTAATCCTGCAAATAAACCGATTCCAAGCTGTTATGGATTTTATATGCCAATACTGACACTTTGAATTTGGCCTGGTGACAAATGGGCAACCGGGGCAGAGATGTTCTGTGTTGACATGGCTTCACTCTTGCCAGGAACCGTGCTGAGCCATTTTGCACTAGCTGCACTTTCCGAATCAAGCACAAGGGAAGCCCGACACGGAGTGGATTCCTATAATCCAGTCTTGAAGTCAGCAGTGTCTGAGCTTCCGTGACCACGCTCTCCAGTTCAGGAACAATTGCAGATGATGCAACAATCACAGCTGATAAAAGCTCTTTCTAGCCACTGAGGTTACCTGGGCCTCCAGCGACAGAGCTGGACCCAGAAACACCCTCACGCTGCTCTTGTTGAGAGTACTAAAATAAAGGAACTCTCTTAGGATTGCTCTCTTGCATTTTATTTGAGCAGTGTTGCAATTCACAAATTTTGATAGTAACCTAATTGGGGCAGCCGCCACTTAAAAGGAATTCTCAGTGAAAGCTGGAGATGCATCCATCTACCTACAAGAATCCATGTCATTTGATTTAAAAAAATACTTACCAGATCCTGTTAAAGCTGGGATCTGGTTCCTAGGGATAGTGATCAAAAAGCAGACTACACCTAACCATGAACCTAGTAAATTTGCTTCTAAGTAAACACATTTAGGAGCAGATATCAGATTACCTACAACGGGCAAACAAAACAAAACCCAAAATTCTAGACTTCTGTAAGTATTGTACCTGATTCAATTTAGAAGTACTGTAATGCATCTGTTTGCTCAATTGTCTGCCACGAGGTGGCAGCAAAGGAGGCCTTTTCCACATGTCCTGTGAGATTTTCCTTAGTCATTCCCTGCTTAGCGGATCTCGGTCCTCTATAAAAGAGAAATTCAGTCATGTGCTGATTCACTCCTAGTGAATTATTTAGCAATAATACTAAACAGAAAAACAAAACTGTCATTGTATAAATGGCCTGATTCATGTTTGCCAAATAAACTTTGCAGGAAGTATTTCTTTTAACAAATTTAGTTGGTTAAAAATAGCATGTTGAAACAGTTTTCCTTTTTAAAAAGAACAGTTTAGAATGCAGTCCTGTGTGCCCTTACTTGGGAGTAAATGCTGCAAACTCAGTGAGACTTACCTCTGTGTAGGCAAGCATAGGACTGCATTACCTGAAACTTATAATTTAAACTAAGTTGCATTAGTGCAAAATTACATGTAAATGTTTAATCATTTGCTGATAAATGCCTCAAAAGTACTTGGCAGATGGCTTAAATTATATTGGTCAACTGGGTTTTAGCAGCCTGTTGGCAAGATTATAGACAGTGGTCTAGTAACAGGTAACAATGCTAGTAAGATGCAAAGGTTGCTCCTGGTTTCAAAAAACTGTTCTTTGCTCAGGGTGCTACATTGGAAGACCCATAGAGAAATAAATTAAAGAGGACAGATTATGCATGATCACAGAATTACCTTGAGGACAGGTGTAGAAAGGACACCATGGATCCTCTGAGCCAAACCTGAAGCATTTTAAGAGCATTATTTAAAAAATACCATTCAACTGCCTTAAAACAATAATATGCATTGTAAAAATTATTAGTGGAGAGACAAAGCTTCTCCTCGTAAAATAAGTTGCTATATTTCCCAGGTCTTCTCTGCTTACATCATTCATTCTCATAGTGTAGTCCTTCTATAAATTAAGATAATGAATTAATTAGCATGATGAGCATGAAGGAAGCTGATAAGCCCAGACTTGCAAATTGAACAGAAGAGAGTATTTGTACTGGATAATCCAGGCTGTTCTTGATAAGACTTCTGCTGGTGCCCAGTTACATCCATATGCTTAGCACCAGAGCTGTCGGTTCAATCACAGTCTGCACTGTACTCCGTGACTCATTTTACTCTCTCTGCACTTATATTACCAACGTGTCCTGCCTACACTGCCCACATGCTGCAGAAGGTGGATGGATCATATGGGAAGGTTATACTTGCATATGAATACAGTCATACCTTGGATCTTGAATGCCTTGACTCCCGAACAAATCGGCTCCCAAACGATTGAAACCCGGAAGTGAGTGTTCTGGTTTTGGAATGATTTTTGGAAGCCGAACATCTGATGGGGCTTCCACGGCTTCCGATTGGCTGCAGGAGCTTCCTGCAGCCAATCAGAAGCCATGCTTTGGTTTTTGAACTTTTTGGAAGTCGAACAGACTTCTGGAACGGATTCTGTTCAACTTCCAAGGTACAACTATATGGGCACAGGCATCACTTTACACCAAGGAGACTACATGCAGTGGAAGAACATGCACAGGCCTCAATCTTGGGCCTGTGCTGCATTCAAATTAGAGCCAGTGTGAACCAAGTCAGAGACAACTTGCTTGGTTTTTAAAAAATCTTATACCTGTCCTTGCCACTGTAATATAAACAGAAATGTGACACCGTTTTATTGCTGCTTTAAGATATCCTTGATCTTTTTTCTGGTCACTTCAAGATCTTTTCCCACTCACTCCATCACCATCCCTGGACAAGATCTTTCCAAAGCAACATTTCCCAATCTGGTGCCCTCCAGATGTTTTGGACTACAACTCACATCAGCCACTGCTAGTATGGCTGGTCATTTCGAGGGCAGCAGGTTAGAGGAGGCTGATCTCAATCCATGAATATTTATTGGACCAACTTCTTTTTTTCTGTCCCCAGACCTGAAACCGTGTGTTCTTATTTTAATCTGCCACATTCTGAACTGATAGGGTTCACAAATGATCAGAATTAAATTGGTCTCTCCCCATTTTAATAGACTTTGTATCGATGATTGACTTCTTCCTTTCAACATTAGGTTTGGGTCGAATCCAATACAGGGAAGACTCAGCTGCATAGCAAAGGAGAACTCCATCTATGTGGTTGCCAACATGGGGGACAAGAAGCCATGCAACCGCAGTGACCCCCAGTGCCCGAGTGACGGTCGCTATCAGTACAATACAAACGTTGTTTACGATACAGAAGGGAAATTTGTGGCACGTTACCACAAGGTAAGCGCTCTTCTCCGTTTTGGTTCAGATGTTGCTAGACTCCATCAGGCCCAGTCAGTTTGGCCAATGGTCAGAGATGATGGGACTTTGTGCTCCGGGGGGCCGCAGGTTCTCCATTTGCTATAGAAAGCACAGTAATGCACCCTAGAGTAGACACCAGGCATAGGCAAACTCGGCCCTCCAGATATTTTGGGACTACAACTCCCATCATCCCTGACCACTGGTCCTGTTAGCTAGCAATAATGGGAGCTGTAGTCCCAAAACATCTGGAGGGCCGAGTTTGCCTATGCCTGGTCTACACAAAACAGATAGTAATGCAAATTAATATGTGTAGCTCAATTTGAATTAGAAGAAAAGGGAGCTCCCATTTCTCCCATCCAAATAAGAGATAGGTATGCACTCATATGGAGCAGGCAGAGAAGCTGCACAAGTATTCATGGATATGTCTCATTGAAAGAGAAATCACAATATTTGAGATGTGTGCTGTAAGGACTTTACTTGTAGATGGTTTTCACAAGATAATCCAGGTCTTGTAACTGTGCTGAAAAACAGAGGCAACACCACCAACTTCTAGGAGAATAACTGTAGGTCAGTAGTAGACTATCCTCTTTGCACGCAGAAGGTCCCAGTTTCAGTCCTGGCATCTTCAGGTAGAGCTGAGAATGTCTCCTACCTGAAATCCTGGAAAGCCACTGCCAGTCAGTGAAGACAAGAGTAGGCAACACAGTGCCCTCCAGAAAGTAGCAGACAGCATCTTCTATCATCCTTGACATTGTCCTGGCTGGCTGGGGCTGGTGGCCTTTTGGAGGGCATTGTGTTTCCCTGGTCTAGACAATATTGAGCTAAATGGACCAATGGTCTGACTCAGTGTAAGACAGCTTCTTATGTTCCTAATACTATTTTTCCTGTCTCCAATAATATCTGTATATATTTTCTGTCTTATAAACAGTACAACCTTTTCGCTTCTGAAGTATACTTTAATTACGCCAAGGACCCACAGTTTGTCACCCTCAACACCTCCTTTGGGAAGCTTGGCCTTATGACTTGTGCCGACGTTCTTAATTATCGTGAACCTGCCGTCTCGCTGGTGGAGAAGTACAAGGTGGACACCATCCTCTTCCCAACTGCTTGGCAGAATGGCCTGCCGCTCTTGTCTGCTGTTGAGTTCTACTCAGCCTGGGCAATGGGGATGCGTGTCAACTTCCTTGCTGCTAATATAAACAAGCCCAGCTTGGACATTACTGGTAAAGTGCTACCTTGAATAATTTCTGTGTAGACATAGATCTGGCAATTTGAGTGTGGGAAAGAGCACAGAGGAGGGAAAGGATTAACCTATTAATTGCTATTTTAAAAATGTGATTTCCTTCAGAGATCAGCCTTATAAAATAATGATGGCAAACTGTGGCCCTCCAGATGTTGCTGGACTATAGCTCCCATTGGCCATGGTGCCTGGGGCTGATGGGAGTTGGAGTCCACCAGCGTCTGCTACCAGTGCTAAAGTCACAGTTATGAACTCTCTACCTGCCTCTTTCAAGACGGGCGATGAGCGCACAATGACATTCTGCAGGCAACACATTATCTGCGTTAATACATTATTTGTCTTCACATGCCCAGTGCTGACCCAATACTTTTTGCAGCTTGAGGCAAATGACAAAACGGTATGGACCAATTCCACATACAGAAGCAGTTGGACTTTACTTCAGCACTGGCAAAGGGACAGCATCCTCCATTGTTTGTGTGTGTGTTTGCTTAATGCATTTATATCCCACCTTTCCCCGTATTTAGCTCAAGGTGGTGTGCATGATTCTCTCTCTCCTCATTTAATCCCCTCAACAACCCCATGAAGTAGGTTATTCTGAGAGGGAGTGACTGGCCCAAGGTCACCCAGTGAGCTTTATGGCTGAGTGGGGATTTGAACCCTGGTACCCCAGATCCTAGTCCGACACTCTCACCACGACACCCCACGGGCTTTGAGGGTAACATGCTAACTTAGGGGGTTGCACACAGCTCTATTCTAAGTAGAAGAGAACATCTGGGGACTAAGGCCAGTTCCCAGGATCTGTTGCCTACCTTGCTTTGTCTAATAAGATGCATTCCCTGCTGAAGCTATTTGTGTGGGGGACCTTTGGCTTTCCAGATGTTGCAGAACTACACATCCCATCATCCCTGGCCATTGGCTGTGCTAGCTGGGACTCATGGGAACTGTAGTTCAGCAATTAGCTACACCTGCTCTGGTCACTTCCCACCATTTGCCCTATGCATTAGCTTCTAGCCCCAAATCAGTGAATTGAGATTCTGCTCTACTTCCCTTTAGTACTTACTTCCCGTTAGTACTCCATTCATTTGGGTAAAGGAATGGAACAGTAAAACTTATGCCTCACCCCAGTGTCTTTTGCCATCCACAGGGAGTGGTATCTTTACACCTGAAGGAGCCAAGGTGTATCGCTTTGATATGAAAACGCAGACGGGAAAACTCCTGGTTGCGGAAATCAATGCTCGCCCCCGTCTTTACCCCACATACCCTCCTGCTGTCAACTGGAGCTTATATGCTTCAAATATCAAGCATTTCCCCACAAGCCCAGTATTTACTGCAAGCTTCTATTTTGATAATTTCACCTTCACTGAACTCTCTCGAGAAGCTGGAAACCATACCGTCTGCCAAAGGGGCCTCTGCTGCCACTTGAGCTACAAGATGGCAGAGAAGCAAGAGGATGAGGTTTACGCATTCGGCGCCTTTGATGGGCTTCATGTGATCGAAGGGGAATATTATTTGCAGGTAAAGGGTTTTGTGAGGTAGGATGAGCAGGCCATGTGGAAGGGAAAGGCCCTACCAGTGGGACCGGGGGAGAATGTGGCTCAGTCCTCATTTAAAGGCAAACCTACCCAGCTCGGAGCAATATGGGAACCAAAACACAGCCATCATTTTAAATGGCACGTTCCTGAATTTTGCACTTCACTTCTCCAGCCAAGTAATATGTCCAGCCAAGAGGAATATAGTCCGGTAATATGTGCATAAAATGCAAATATGAGTGAAAACAACATACAGAAACGCATTATATTAGAGGGGGAAAATCTATATATTGGGCCAAATAGCACGTTTAAAATTAGTGTATTAAAATGCTGGTGAATTTTCTTGCGAACTGAATTTAAGACTGGAAAAACGAGAAACCGAGAGAAAAAGAAACTGATAGCATTTCCCATCCCTACCTACCAACAATGTCTAGGATACATGTGTTTCAGAGCCTTTGAGGAAACCAGAAGCTGTACTCTCCAGAAGCTTTTCTAAAAGCCTGTAAGAATCATTAGAGGGATTACTACTGAAGAAAAGAACAATCCCTATAAGACACCTCCCTTCTTTAGAGCACAGCTACTGTTTAGAGCCGAGATGGCTGTAGTTGTTGGACTCTTGTTCCTATCATCTCTTATCATTGGCCTCACTGTCCGGGGCTGATAGGAGCTGAAATCCAACAAATCTGGAGGGCCACAGATTCCGCACCCCTGATATAGGGGGTGGGGATTGTATATTACATTTGTAGCATGATTAGAAAAATTTAGTAGGATTCTGGGAAAAATAAGTCTGCTGAAGTCATTGATGATGGTAGTCCCTTTACTTAACACAGTGCCACCATGTGGCTTCCTGCTTAACTTCATATTCTGTCTTGGGTTTGTTTGCTTTTTATTGCAAGTGTCATGTAAATGCTAAGTACTCACAGTATTGCATAGAGTTTTTTGAAGGATGCACACAAAAGCACAAAGCATTTTATTTTATTTTTTACAGAAAAGGCCTCAGAATTCTCTGTTGATTCAAAAGCAATCCTTGTTTGTTGGTCCTCATAAGGGAAACAGAAAGAAAGACACCCCCCCCAATCCAATAACCCCAATACTGTATTGCAAAAAGAATACTTGTTTATTTCTTCCAAATATTCTAGAGTTGTCTCAAAATAATCAGCGAAAGCAATCTACTTCTTCAGGCTTAGTATTGTGCGGTGTTAGCATTGGTTTGTGTACTGTTTTGAATCACAGAAGCATCCTGTGTAGCCCACTTACATGGGAAGTATCTTCCTCCATTCCATAAACACAAGGCTCTTTGAATGGCTTAGTTCCACAAAATAACCTTTCCCACAACCCTCTCTTTCCATAGATATGCACACTACTGAAATGTAAGAGCACAGACTTGAAATCATGCGGGGAGCCAGTTAATACAGCTCATACAAGATTTGACTCCTTCACCCTCAGCGGCACCTTTAACACAAGCTACGTGTTTCCAGAAGTCTTGCTCACTGAGACTCAGCTGACCACTGGAGAATTTCAGGTAAGGGCCAAAGTGGCTTCCAACTTCTGCAAAAGCAGTGACCCAAGCCATTTCTTAGATTAAAACAGCTCCTCCTCTCCATCTCTCAAAATAGTTGTGCTCCTAATCATTCAATAGTCGCAGCTTTGTTTCTACCTAGCACTGAACTTTTTGAACAGCTCTCCCTGCTATGTGTGTGTGAATTTGAAGAAGAAGAAGAAGACGAAGACTTTGGATTTGATATCCCGCCTTTCACTCCCTTTAAGGAGTCTCAAAGCGGCTAACATTCTCCTTTCCCTTCCTCCCCCACAACAAACACTCTGTGAGATCAGTGGGGCTGAGAGACTTCAAAGAAGTGTGACTGGCCCAAGGTCACCCAGCAGCTGCATGTGGAGGAGCGGAGACGCGAACCCGGTTCCCCAGATTACGAGACTACCGCTCTCAACCACTACACCACAATTTGGTCTCTCTCATCTTGCTTGTAGCAGAGTAGGGTAGTGAACTTGTGGCCCTCCAGATGGGAATGAAAGCCCGGCAGCATCTGAAGCACAGGGGTGGAGCTTGGTCACATGCCACCCTGTGCAAGGCCATTTGATGCCCTCCCTCCAGCTTACACCGGGCATTGGGAAAGAAGTGTGGGGTTCTGGAAGGGTCTTAGAGCCTCCCCACCTCTTTTCCAAAGCCTGGCAAGCACTTGCCCAGCTTTGGGAAGGAGGACTCTAGGACCCTGGCAGAGCCCTCACACCTGCTTCCCAAAGCTTAGCAAGTGCCCTAAATCTGCCTCTGTGAAGGGCCCCAGGTTCTCCAGCCCTGGCCTACAGTATTCAGCAAAGAAAGGCAGGCTGAGGCCTAGTCTACCCACTTTCCTTGCTTGCTCATTGACAAACAGTCCAACATGGAAGCTGCTGTTATGCATGTCAGTCAGTAATTCTAAATGTATTTTGGGTGCAGGCACACGACTCTCACGGAAAACTCTACAACTTAAAAAGAATTGCATTACTTTTCACCATAGTGGGGAAGACTGCGGCTAGGTGACTGGCTGGCTCAGTCTGCTGTCTAGGTGACAGGTGTTGGTGGACAGCTATAAGGGCCCTGCTCTCCCTTCTTTATTTTTAAACTAGACTTGGACTGGGCAAGGGTGCCTTCAAACAGGAGCATGTCTTGTGTAAAGAAGGATGCAAGGCCACCCTGTATCAGAGAACAAGAAAAAAACGGTTGATTGCAAGCACCTGTAACTCTCCAGTAATAAATGTTTGTCTGTATTTTCCTATGTATTCTAAGCCAAACATGTTTCCCAGTGTATAACTTTTTGCCTGCCCTTTCCATTCTCCCAGGTATTGACTGATGGACGTTTGACAAGCAATGGCCTATCAAAGCCAGTCCTGTCTGTGGCTCTTTTTGGAAGGTGGTATGAAAGGGACCCGCCACATCCAGAGGGTGCTCCTTCATAAGACTCATCCAATCACGATCATGTCTCTTTTCCTGAATTTTGTGGGTGCTTGTACAACAAAGGCGGAATGAACAGGATCAGTGTGTTCTGCTGCAGGCCAAACCAAATAGCTTGTTTTAGGAGCAGTTATCAGCCACAAAGAGGAGATGAACACACCATCTAGCTACATGGCAGTTTCCCATTGCTTTAAACAGGAGCATGGGGCATACAATGAAGAAGGACTTTGGCTTTAGACTTTATTAATATTTGTGTTCCTCCTCTTGGTTGTACCCAAAAGAAATCTGCTACTAGGGCAAATACATACTATAATTCAGGGTGGGGAACCAGTGGCTCTCCAGAGGTTGTTGAACTCCAACTCCCATCCTTCCTGACCTCAAGCCACACTGGCTGGGGAGGTTGATGGGAACTGGAATCCAGCAGCATTCAGAGGGCCACAGGTACCCTCCTCCCTGCTGTAAGCATTCAGACGACTAAATTGTCGTCTATCAGAAAGAAATAAACATTTCATTGCTTTTCCTGAAACCTGTACCCTGCTCAATAGGGCCAATATTTGATAAAAGGTCTGTCGTCTGGTTCATTCTGAGAAAGCACCCAAAATGAACCTTTATTGTTTGTGGGTGAGTGGTCAGTCTTGCCCACACTTCATGAAGATACTAAGCACCCAAGGCCCTCTGTAGGTCCAGGACCGAAATTTGTGAGTTTGTAATTGTAACTTCAGTACATAACAGTAATCTTCCTGCTGCCCAAATCATATGTCAGATTCCAAAATGGAGTCAAACTCAAACTCAGTCCCCAAAAGGATTCTGGGAAAGATGTGCTGCATGTGATCTGATCCAGTTTCTTGTTCCTTACCTGGGTCTCCAGCTGCATTGTTCAGAGACTTATGCATACACTTGGGGAGGAATTCAACTAACCAGTCCTCCTGCTAGCAGGAGCCCACAAAATGGCTTCTACTAGTGCAATATGGCTTTCTTCCTTCTCCCCCATGTATGCCCCCATGCTTTCCAAATTGGCTCTGTGGGGTCAAGAGAAGCCCCCAAATAGTGCACAGAGGAAGGAGAGGGGAGATTGTTATATCAGCCAAGCAAGAATACTTGCACCGACTAAGTGCTGTGTTAAATTTCTCCCATGGTTTCTTAACTCATGGAAACTTGCAATTAAGTTGCTGAACCTTGTTTTTCATTTCAGGCTTAATCAGTTAGATGTGCAATTTACTTCTGGTTGTTAGATGTCTCTGTGAATACTCAGTTTGAGTGGAAAGGCGACTCACTTACTTTGTAATGAATAAAATGTTTTGAATTGTCGTTTTTATGTTTACATTGCTTTTGCCCTTAAAATAAATATCATGCTTTAGTAAAGTAATTCCCCTTGGCTTATTTTGACATATATACACTCTGGTCCAAAACACCATTTTGTTATAAGTTGCTACACTGTACTGTGGTAAGTAAATCTTAAAAGAGAGAAGAATGGTGAGCCTGAAAAAAATAGTCTATAAATTAGACTGAGAGGTAGTGACTGGCCCAAGGTCACCCAGTGAGCTTCATGGTTGACAAGGGATTTGAACCCCAGTGTCGCAAGCTAACCCACCATACTGGTCCATTGATCTTTCTTTTATTTATTTAGTACTGTTTTCTTCAAGGAAGTTGGCAGTATTATATATTTACTTACTTGTTCGTTTGTTTTGTTAAATTGATGTGAGAAACTTTGGGACTGCTACCCGTAAAACAGGTGTTCTGAGTCTCTGACCTATGAATCATCCGTTGGATACACGTTGGCTGTGTGAGGACATACTAAGCTAAGAAATGGGAGGTATTCAACTAAGTTTTACTAAAGGAGACTTGTTGAAATTTAATGGACCTAACTTAGCTATGTTCATTAATTTCTGTGGGTCTATTCTGAGTGAAACCCAATAGTTATAGAAATATGAATAATCACTCTAGATGTTACCATTTTAATTTTAAACAGCTTTAGATTTAGCTGAAAACCACAATCTTGGCAAGAGATTGAAAACTATTGGCTGACAGGACTGTGACATCATTGCTTAGATTCCACAGCCACTGCAGATCAGTTTGTAGACTATTCCATTTGGAGTTTCTCTTTATAGCCTCGGCCCAGTATACCTGAAGGAGCGTCTCCCCCCTCATCGTTCTGCCTGGACACAGAGGTCCAGCGCTGAGGGCCTTCTGGTGGTTCCCTCACTGCGAGAAGAGAAGTTACAGGGAACCAGGCAGAGGGCCTTCTCAGAGGTAATGCCCTACCTGTGGAATGCCCTCCCATCAGATGTCAAGGAGTTTAAGAACTACACAACTTTTAGATGACATCTGAAGGCAGCCCTGTATCAAGAAGTTTTTAACGTTTGACGTTTTATTATGTTTTTATATTCTGCTAAAAGCCGCCCAGAGAGGCTGGGGAAACCTAGGCAGATGGGCAGGGTATAAATACTACTACTACGACTATTATTATTATTATTATTACTACTACTACTACTACTACTACTACTTTCATTGATATCTCTGCTGTCAGCTGTCAGGTCCCATAATCCTGTCACAGTCCATTATAAGGGAGGAAGTTGAGGCATCTACTTTTCCAGCTACAGTTACTGAGCTGAACTTTCACTTCTCTCCCCTTTCCTAATCAATCTGTTGCCACTTTTTATCAGATGCAAAAATCTCGCCTTGAGGCAGCAGACCATCTGAGGATGAGAGGCTCCACTGTTAGAGACATTACTCTTTTGAATAACTGTTGCTGGAAACAGCAGGATGGGAGAGTGTTGGCCTCCTTGCAGTCTTGCTACACGCATCTGGTTGGCTACTGCAACAAGAAGCTGGCCTAAAGGAGCCAAATGCCCTGATCTAGCAGGCTCTGAAAGCATTCTGGGAAAGAGAATATGAAATCTGAGTGAAAGGATAGTCAATGGAAGGTGTATAGCATTCCATGTTGGGTGGGGGACCCCTGGGCTGGGTGGGGTGAAATGAGATGAGAGCAAAGAGGGAAGGACTGTCTAAATGGGGGGGGGGGGAGTAGGGAGAGGATTAAATCTCCTTCCACTATCTTGCTAAAAACTAGTGGGTGGGAGGGGAGAAATTCCTCTCTCAGGGCACTTCAGTTAGGGCTCCAAAACGGTACCAACTAGGCTTAGGACAGTGCTTTAATTTAGATGCTGATTTCCCATCCCAGCAAAAGAAAGGTGATGATGATTAAATTTCTATATGCCCCTTTATCCGAGGAGCACAGGGCAGTTTACCATTTAAAAATACAAAAATGAATAACATAGTAACAAACAATGTACCCTCCTCCAGTTTAAAAGGCCACAGATTGTTTAATTAGTCAAAGACCTTGGAGAAGATGAATGTTTTTCCTTGGTGCCTAGTGTCATCTACCCTGCAGGCTCTTCGGTCACAGAAAGGGGCTGTGGCAGAGCACAAACCTTTCACTCAGAAGGTCACAGGTTCAATTCTCAGCAATTTCAAGCAGGGCTGGGACTGACTCCTGCCGGAAACCCAGGAGAGCCACACCACTATGGTGTAGAGTAGACCAAGTGTTGTTGAACTACAACTCCCATCAGCCCCTGCAAGCATGGGCAATAGCCAGGAGTAATGGGACTTGTAATTCAGCAATATCTGGAGGCCCAAAAGTTCCCTCAGTAAACAATACAGAGAAGAGGAATGGAAGAAGCAAAAGTCCTTAATTATGTGTGCCATTTTGTCATATTTCCTTGCCATGTTTTTCTCCCTCCCCTCAATACTACCTACTGAGGCACTACCACTCCCCCACCCACCCATGTCTGTTGGATCCTTCCCCATCCAAACAAACACCTCAGAACCTGAACCCACTTCAGTTTCTTCGTTTTCATTCCAGAGACATACTACTACCAACAAGTCCATGTAGCCTACATTACATTCCCCACAGGGAAATTAGACTCTCCACTCTCAGTGGAAAGTCTAGTCAATTAGCTATTTTGTTCATTCACTCTCCCTGGGTGCCTAACAACTAACATCTCAGTTAAAATCAGGCGGAATCTTATGCCCACACCAAAGGGACAACCCATTATGACCACCCCTTCTATTATTATGATTATTTATTATTTATTTAATTTCCTTACTGCCCTATACCCAAAGGTCTCAGGGCGGTTCTAGCTAATTGTCCAAGCAGAATCTCAAGGCAGCCTTCAGACTTCTTCAAGGCCCTGCCAGAAACTAGAGCCCAGGAATCAGGGCAGGTGGGCAGCTTAGGTGTAAACGGCTTGCCTTACTGCAGCTGGACAATCTTTGAGACCTCTTGAAATGCTTGGCTTGACCTTGCTCCTGTTCAAGATAATTGCCATGTAAGTCTCCCTGTTGTTGAATATCAGCTATTGAAGAAACACTTTCTATGGCTGCCAATGTGCATTTCTCATGTACTAATTATATGGTACAATGACATTTCTGAAATTCTTTTACAATTGTGACAGAAATAATGGGGGTGTAAGAGAGGCATATCATTAACTAGCCGGAAAGCTTGAATAGAGAACAACTTTTATGTTGTTGGTGCACAAATAAACAATTAAACAGCAGTTTCAAAATAAATAAATACACATTTGATGTGTGAAAAAGAATCCAACTCTGAATTTTGTTGTCATTTGCTGCAGTAACTGCTGAGTAACATTTAAAGCCTTCATTCTTAAGAGATAGGGTGTGTACTAAATTTGCTTATCTTTCTGGTAGATAAAGTGCGCAATCAGCATTTAACCATCTGAGGGTTGATTGCATATTTCTAATCCATCTGATTGGAGCAGGAACCGGCAAGCCACTCCAGTATCCCTGCCAAGAAAACTCCATGGACAAAGACAACAGGCATATAGTGCCTGGCAATGCTCTGGTCCATTGAGTCATGAAGAGTCGGACACGACTAAACGACTAAACAACAACAACAATCCATCTGATGTCTGTATATTCTCTCACCTGCAGGTTTGGAGAGTTGCTGATTGATTGCGTGCTTTGATCAGCACTTGAATGATTTTAACCTCCGACAGCAGTGGCGTAGCGTGGGTTGTCAGCACCCGGGGCAAGGCAAGTAATTTGCGCCCCCTAACCTAAGGGGGCAGAGAGCTGCGAGTGCAAGCGCGCCACCCCAGACGTTGCGCCCGGTGCGGCCGCCCCCCCCGCAACCCCCACGCTACGCCACTGTCCGACAGCCTGTGATATCTTCAGTAAAAAGAAAGAACCCAGATGGTGCTGGATAAATGGAAAAGAGGGCGGGGGGACTCCTGAAATTCATAGGTATTAACCCTATAAGTAAGGTAAAGGTATTTTTTCTATGGGACTTCTGAGGTTGTTTTAATTAGACCTTTCTTGTAGCAATCTACAGGAGAGGAAAAACACAGGAAAGACTCTAAAAGGAAGTGAAAACGGTATTTTTTGCTATGGAATATTTCAAGGATCACTTTGTTAGAATAGCAGCTAGCAGCTAGAGGGTTAATCCCAGCTTCCTTATATAAGCAGCACCTTGGTTGCTGCTGTGTCAGGTTACATACATTTGCTCTGACAGCTTTCATATGGACTACTTAAACATTGGAAACTGTTTAAGCTGTTTCTTCATATAGCACATTCAGGTAAAGTTAATATTTTTAATGTCTTAGATTATTTTTCATAGAACCATAAAATAAGGAATGTAGGAAAGAGTATTTAAGATTATAACAGGAGGTTACCATTTTTAAGAAAACCTGTTTTTCAGAGTCTCTAGTTATTACAGAAGCATGTTTAGAGGAAAGTGTCGAATATACTTGTTGCTGTTCTTAAAGAGAAATGAGGCTAAAAGCACAACACTATGTATGTTTACTCAGAGCAGAAGAAAGCCCCTGTGTACAGATTTTCCTTCCTTTAAAAAAGAACAAAATTTATAAACTGCTTGATTCATCTAAGCAGTTTTCAGAAAGTACCTCCTTCCATATTTCCATTTCGGACTAAAACAAAGGGGCGATTTATGGTGCATAAAAAGGTTTAAAAGTATAACTGTCAATTTCTTTAATGCTGATCTTGTGAAATAACTGTCCAGAGTCCAGAAAGAAGTAACTGGCCAGAGTCCAGAAAGGGATGAAATAATCCACATGATAGTCATGTGATACAAGTCAGCTGATACAAGTGTGGACTTTGCCATCCCTTTTCCTCTCTTTTCTTAGCCTTATTGGGACTTTTTTCCTCTTTGCAGCAGACGAGCCCAGCAATGATTTCTTTCCCATCCCCATGGCATGTTTTTGTTTATCTCCTCCTGGTGGACCCAGGGGCCTCGGCCTTGGACAAATATATTGCAGCAGTATACGAGCACTCAGTCGTACTGGCAAAGCCCACCCCAAAGCCTGTTTCTTCTGAAGAGGCATTAAAACTGATGAACAAGAACATGGACGTCTTGGAAGAGGCCATCAAATTGGCCGCAAAGCAGGTACTATTTGATAAAGTGCCTTGGTTTATCCTGTGGTGGAGAGATCATCAGCATTGTTTCTTTTGACAGGGTGCACACATCATTGTGACTCCTGAAGATGCCATATATGGTTTCAGATTCACAAGAGAAACACTTTATCCCTACCTTGAAAATATTCCTGATCCGCAGGTCGACTGGACTCCATGTACGGACCCAAAAAGGTGTGTTCGGATTTTGTTGATTTCATATGCAGTCTTAAAAAACAAAATGAAAAAACACCCTATAAAGGCACTTAAGTATGGTGTCTTCTTCCATCCTTGTGGTCAGTGTTATAATGTATGTACAGCTTCAAATAAAGGTGTTTTGGAGAAAGAGAGGTTTCTCCAAAGCACCTGGTAACTGCTGGGAAGTCACATTTATGGACTGCACAATCTAGATGGCTGATTATCGGCAGGCAGAGGATCAAAATCAGAACTCCAAAAACCCTGTATAGTAGATTAGACTGGGAAATGGTGACTGTTCCAAGCTTAGCCCGTAAACTATGTCACTAAACAAGTAAGTCCCGAAAGACCTACATTGGCTCCCGGTACATTTCTAACTGGCATAAAAGATAGCGAGAAAGATTGCACTTGGAGGCTGTGAAGGAAACTAACTGGGAAGAGTACCACTTCCCTGCTTCCTGTGTATTTTTTTTAATTAATAAATACTTTAGAAAAGTTAGTTGGTTGTGGAATGTAATTGTACAGTATTTTGTCAGAATGTTGGGTTTAAAAAATAAAATAGAATAAAATAAACTAGCTTCTGAAACCATCCACAGTGACATGTGATGCTTGAGATGAGCTATTTATTTATTTTTATATCACATAACCCTGAATGGGTGGTTATGCTACATTGAATATGCAATGAATATACAATGAATATGCAATTCTGGGCTGCAGCAATAGGAGTATAGCATCTAGATCAAGGGAAGTAATAGTGCCACTGTATTCTGCTCTGGTCAGACCTCACCTGGAGTACTGTGTCCAGTTCTGGGCACCACAGTTCAGGAAGGACACTGACAAACTGGAACGTGTCCAGAGGAGGGCAACCAAAATGGTACAAAGGCCTGGAAACGATGCTTCTTGATGAGGAAACCGCAGCTCAAGCAGAGCTGGGCATGCTTTAGGCCTGGAGAAGAGTGACAGAGTTAAGAGGGTGATATGATAGCCATGTTCAAATATATAATAAGGATGTCAGCATGAGAGGAGGTGAGAAAGGTTGTTTTCCGCTGCTCCAGAGAAGCGGACACAGGCAGCAATGGATCCAAACTACAAGAAGAGAAGATTCCACCTAAACATTAGGAAGAACTTCCTGACAGTAAGAGCCTGTTCTGACAGTGGAATTTGCATGCCAAGGAGTTGTGGGTGGAGTCTCCTTCTTTGGAGTGTCGGTTTAAGCAGAGGCTTGACAACCATATGTCAGGAGTGCTTTGATGGTGTTTCCTGCTTGGCAGGGGGTTGGACTCGATGGCCCTTGTGGTCTCTTCCAACTCTATGATTCTATGATTCTATGATTCTATTCTAAATGCAGAACAGAATGGGAAACTTAACAGACAGATTTTGCTTATAATGCAAAGTGCTGGCAGGGTGATGGTGGAAGGAATTTGGAGTGGAGAAGGAGGTTAAGCTCCACCACCCCACTCCACCCCAGTTCTCAGCCACCCACTGCGGAATCAACTTTGTAAGAAAAGGGAAAAAGCTGTGGTGCTGCAGTTATATATGTTGATGTGCAACATGTTGTTTTGTCCCATTTGCTTGAACCTTTTGAGGGTTATATTAAATGCTACATAGAAGGTAAGGATGCTGCGATGCCTTTAAGGAAGAACAGCAACAAGAAGTTGCCAGCTTGGATACAGGAGCAGTGTTGGGAGGGTCCACTTAATTCCCTACCTCCCCCAAGCTATTTTTCTAACCACAGGGGGAATGCTACTGGGACAGACAACTCCCCATTTGCACGCATTCAAAGCATATGCATCAACTGATGCACATGGTATTTTTGACATGGGAAGGGGGCAGCGTGGGATAGGGCAGAAAGGGGTAAGCTGGTTTTACGCACGTCTCACCAATGCGTGTGGCGCCTCAGAATGCAATCCCTGTGTAAATTGTTGCCTGTACACATATCTTTTACCCACAGATAGAAAAATAACAGCTCAGATGAGGTAATTTTGAATGGATAAATGGCTGGAGCGAAAGGGTCAAACATCCCCATTTCTCTAACTGACGTCCTCCAGTGGCTGCGTTTCATTTTGAAAAAATTGGGCGACATTTATTTCTATGTAAGGTCTAGTGTGGCCCAGATTATGTTTTCTACCTTCTGTCTATTTAGGGCCCCTCCAGATGGGTATTCTGCAACATGTCACTGATGCAGTAATACTTCATTAGTGGTGGGTTAGGGGATGACCCTCACATTGTTTCGCTTTATTAGCTGTTCTGCAGTGCTTCCTTTAGAGCCAGTGCTTTTTCGGCTGTGGCTCTGATCTGGTGGAACACTCTGTCACAAGAGACTAGGGCCCTGCGGGATTTGACATCTTTCTGCAGGGCCTGCAAGACAGAGCTGTTCCACCAGGCCTTTGGCCAGGGCACAGCCTGACTCCCTCCTTGGGCAACCTTCACAGAATCTCTAGCCCGATTGGTTGCCATCAGTTTGGTTTGAATTAATTTTATAATGAATGATTTTAGAGTGTTGTGTTGTGTTGTACTGTTGTACTGTTTTATTGTTCTTAGCCGCCCTGAGCCCGGCTTCGGCTGGGGAGGGCGGGATATAAATAAAATGTATTATTATTATTATTATTATTATTATTATTATTATTCCTCGATGTCACTGCTTTAGTGCTGTTGGGGGGGCACCCTTGCACGATGATGCAACAAAAGTGGGACCAAAACAAAAACACAAAAACTGGAACATTTGTGTAAAAGGATGTGGGATTTCAGTTAGAAGCTATGGGACGTCTAAACAGCCCTGAAACTTTTGCAGGTTTAAACAATATTGAAAGCAGGATGGCATATAACTGCCCTGATGTCATCCTTAGCACAAATCATCCTGAATGTGTAATAAAATGGAAATCTGAAGGGGCCCTTTATTTCCTACAATCTGGCGGAACATGGGGCTGCTCTGCTATGAATGTTAGCATGTTGCCTCTCCGTTCAGGAGATTCAGCTAGGTGGTCTACCAACGGATCTCTCTTCCTCTGAGTCCTTCTTTTCTCTGCTTTTCTGTGCTTAGATTTGGACCTGCCCCAGTGCAAGAAAGGTTGAGTTGCCTGGCAAGGCACAACTCTATCTATCTGGTTGCCAACATGGGAGATAAGAAACCATGTAATCACACAGATGCCAAATGCCCTAATGATGGTCACTATCAGTACAACACCAATATTGTCATGGACTCGAATGGAAAACTCGTGGCACGTTACCACAAGGTAATTCATTTTTACAAACTGGGTATCAGTGGCCCCCACCCATCCCCCAGTTATAATATTGTATAGGGTGGAATTGTTTTATGAAGTGGGAAGAAAAGGCAAGAGAATGTAGGATGCATGCCACATTTTGCTGTCTATTGAAGATGTCTTCTGCTGCTGTTTTATTCTGTTCATTTTATGGGCCATTGTATTCCTTTTACTGTACACAACCTATTATTCATTTTTCTGTTATGGGTTATTCTCCTGTGATTTTGCAAGTCATTTAGAGGCTCCCTTGTGGGAAGCAACTAATACATTGAATACATAATAATGATCCTATTTTTATTAACAATTTATGCACAGACTACACAATAGTATAAGAACACACTGATGGCATTGGCATAGAAAGAACAACCCCGAAAGGTGGTTCAATTGAAACAAAAATAAAACCTTTTAAAAAAAGTTTTAAAAAGAATGTTCTTTAGCTTTTTTAAAAATAAAATGAAATACGCTTTTCAGGTTTATACATTTCACTAATTTTAATTTCATTTTAACATTTCAAAATTTGACTTCCTTCCCTCTCTTTCTGCGGTTCCTTATATTGATTTTTTATGTCTTCTGCATATCCAAATTAACTTAATTTGCTCATTTATCCATCTACTTTAAATATATACTCTTCTAAAACTGCAGGTTATTACAACAATCCTGCCAATGTGTTTACCTGTTCACAATTTATCTGTCAATTTTCAATATACCATTTCCATTCTTTTATAAAAAGTTTATTATCTTGATTTCTTATTCTTCCGGTAAGTTTGCCATTTCTGCCTATTCCATAAGTTTTGGTATCCATTCTTCCTTATTTAGCTTTTCATTAATTTAAATGAAAATTAAATAACTTGCAGTACACTTTGTAGGTCACTTTTAAGTACAATAGTTTCTTTTTAATATACCCAGGTACCTTAATGGTGTGTGGGTGGTGGTTTTTTTTATTTTTTAAAAAAGGTGTTATCTTTCCACAGTTCAATCTCTTTATGTCGGAACGCCAGTTTGATTCCCCCCCAGAGCCTGAATTGGTGACCTTCAATACTGCCTTTGGGAAATTTGGTCTTTTCACCTGCTTTGATATTCTGTTCCATGACCCTGCGGTGACCCTGGTGAGCAAGCTGCAGGTGGACACCATCCTCTTCCCAACAGCTTGGATGAATGTTCTCCCACATCTGACTGCTGTTGAATTCCATTCAGCATGGGCTATGGGCATGCGTGTCAATGTCCTGGCATCTAATACCCATTGGCCTATCTTGAAAATGACAGGTAATATACAGTTTTCAATAAGATTATGTATAACTAGTTATGCACTAGTTGGCTGGCCTCTCCCTTCTTAGGACCCCTCCAGATGGATGTCTTTGTTTTTGTTTTTTTGAGGGTGCATTCTGCAAGGTCACACTGATGCAATAATAAAGCATTCATGGTGGAGTTTTACTGGGCTGTCCAGAAATCATTCTGCTTTATTAGATGGTGCTTCCCCAATGTTACTGCATCACTTGCACTGTAGCATAACAAAAGGGGGACAAAAAAATAAACTGGAACTTTTGCGGCATAAACAGTTGCAGGATTTCAGCAGGGCATGCACTGATTGGAAATGAAGTAGATGCCAAGAGTACTTTTAATGTATTTTTAATCTTTTGTTGGAAGCCGCCCAGAGTGGCTGGGGAAACCCAGCCAGATGGGTGGGGTATAAATAATAAATTATTATTATTAATAATATTATTCCATTATTATGATACCACTGAGAACACAAATCATTATGAATACACAATAAAAAGAACAACTGGAGGTGCGCTTAGTATGCCCATTCCAAAATTAGGTTTGGAAAAGTTCATAGGACTTCTGAGTTGTGATCATGGCAGACTGGCTGTATTTGGCTCTCTTTTAAACAAAGGCAGACAATTTTTGCCTCTGATTTGGCCTTTAGTTGCTATAAAGAGCCTCTGGGCCCGAGCTGTAGCAGAACTTCTGCTTGATCAGGTTGTCAGCGATGCCAACTGGAGGCTTTAATTTTTGTTTCTTCACTGGGCTGAGTCTGGACCAAGAAATCTGTTTCATCCTAAGTCTGGGAAGGAGGATATTCGTCTCAGTGTTCCCCCTGCCTGACAAAGTGATAATCATCGCACCCAGATCGAAAGGAGTACAGCATGTGGGTTTTGGGTATGTGAGAGTATGTGTTGGTCAACTTAAATGGGTGTTGTCTGTGGATATGGCAGGACGGGCAATATGAAGCAGCTGCTTCTGTCTTTCTGTTTTGTGTCATTCTTAGGCAGCGGCATCTATGCACCGGATGGATCCCGAGCATATCATTATGATGCAGAATCAGAGAAGGGGCATCTTCTGGTTGCAGAGCTCGATTCTCATCCTTCTCTTTCTCCTACCCATCCTGCCCCTGTGAACTGGAGCTCGTATGCCACAACTATCAAACTGGTCCCCAAAGACGGTGATTTCACAGGATTGATTTTCTTTGATGAATACTCTTTCTCTGAACTCGCCAAAGAAGCTGGCAATCTTACCGTCTGCCAGGGAGCTCTCTGCTGCCATTTGAGCTACAAAATGACAGAAAAGCAAGAAAATGAAGTTTATGTGCTAGGTGCATTTGACGGCCTTCATGAGGTCGAAGGAAATTACTACTTACAGGTCTCTTTTTATCTTCTTCTTATGAGGGAAGATGGGATCTCATTTTTATTCATCATCAGAGAGAGGGGAGAGAGGAGGAAGTTCTAGATATATTGCCGTATATTGCCATAGAAACATAGGTCGTGATCTGGCTCAAGTTAAGCACTTTTAATATAATGTCCTACAAATTTCAGCTGTAGAGTTGAATTTAATTTTCCAGTTTAAATTACTGGAATTCCATTGCTTCCCAAGACGGAGGACAACAACAACACAACAAAAATATGTGCTTCCTTCTTGGCTGGCTCGTGCCCAAAATAAAGGAAAGAAGAAAACCTAATTCCAAAGTCTTAGTAACTTGGTTGTAGCTAGGTGAACTTGGAACAAAGTTCTGATGAGTTCAGTGAGGCTTACTCCAAAGTTAGTGTGCACAGGGCTGCAGTCTAAATATGGCCTTCTAGCCCCATGAAACGCTGTCACTGATAATTAAGACTGTGATTTTATATGGTATGTTTAGTTATTTAGTTTTGGAGTAATGAGATATGCACCTGTTTCATAATTTTGGAGACCAATGTGCCTATAGTTGTGTGTGGAAGTACACTGGAAACTAGGTGAGGGCTGTCAAATGTAAGAAATCAATGTTGGCTTTTTGACTTCTTACATTTGACATTTGTAGGATGTTCTTGTTGCAGCTAATACCATCAAGGAAACTTCTTGAATCAACTGAGTGAGCAGTTGGGCGGGTTATTTATTTATTTATTTATTTATTTATATTTATTCAATTTATAGCCTGCCCTCCCTCCCAAAGGAGTCCAGGGCAGCAAACCACAATTGATTATAAAGCATATTTAAAAACAATTCCAACACAGATATGGACTGGGAAAGATCTCTACTTAAAATGCTTGTTGGAGGAAGGTGGTCTTCCATTGGTGCCAAAAAGACAACAGAGATGGAGCCTGTCTAATGTTGAAGGGGAGAGGATTCCAAATTATTAAGTGCAAGAATACTAAAGGCCTGAGTCCTACATGGTGCAGAATGGACTTCCTGATAAGATGGTATCTGCAGGAGGCGCCCCCCCCCCTAAAAGTGCGGTCATCACCTGGGTATATAAAGGGTTTATAGCTCATATAATACTGTATTAGTACTGCAACAGTTCTTATTGTTCTTATACTGTAACCAACTTGGTTGTATTTTAAATCAGAGCCATGGTTGTGATGGTACAGCAGCAGTAAAATTTATATTTATTCTGAGTGCTCTCCCAATACATTGCTCTTCTTCCTTTTAGATATGTACATTGCTGAAGTGTGCAAGCACAGACCTACAGACCTGTGGCCAGCCTGTGACAACTGCTCATACCCGCTTTGATTTCTTTTCTCTCAGTGGCACATTTAGCACTAACTATGTCTTCCCAGAAGTCCTGCTCAGTGGAGTTCAGTTGGCGCCTGGAGAATTTCAGGTAGGGCGGTGCTTCTAGCAAATGTTTTCTGGCTGAGATGGAAAAAACCTGTGGCTGTATGGTATCAGAATGGAAACAAATTCCTTTAAGGACGTTATCATAAACAAAGTTCAGGTGGCTCAGTAGCCTTTTCAGGACAAGAGTGGGCTTCTGAAAGAAATCATGCTACCTCTGTCGTGCCTTCAGCTGTACAGGGAAATCTATGGGGGCCACACAGACTGTTGAATACGGTCTTGGTTATTAGGCCAGGAAATTTACTAGCATGGATTATTATTATTTTTACTGGCCTACTAAAAATTGTCTTCTACCAATTGGCTTGGTAGAGGAGAAACAGATCTCTCCATCCCTTCTATGATAATTCACTTTTCTGAATGGATTTCTACATATATTTGCCTATATAGTTCCAAAGGGAAGTGCAAAGGGAAGCATCAGAACAAACAGAATTTCCTTCTCTTCCCCTCCAGCACACACCCTGCACCATCTCCAAATCCAGTGCTTCTTTCTGGGGGGACGCAGGGGTATGCATACCCTGAACAGTTTGTGAATCTTTGTACTTTTGTCCATTTACTGTATTTATTTTTCCCGATTTGAACTATGAAATGGTGAATTATTTATTTTTTGTCAAAATGAGAGTACCCCCTGATCTGGAGGGTTGGGAAAAACCTTCAGAACAGATTTAAGAGGGACACGTGTGCAGAAGGAGGGATGGGGGGAGAATGTTCCATTGTGCGAGGGAAATTATTGTTCTAACAGAATGTTCACTTTAGTGCTATGTTGCATAGAACCTATAATATTGATATTGTGTGCAACTATTACTTTGTAACTGTTCCCTCCTCTTTTTGTTCTCAACTAGGTTTTGAGTGATGGACAGCTGGTTACTCATAATGGTACATCGAAGCCAGTCTTAACGGTGACACTTTGGGGCAGGTGGTATGAGAAGGATCCTCCACATCCCTACATACTCAGTGAGGTTCTTTGAGATGTCCTGAGCTGGACAGTTCACAACTGTGAAAGAACGCAAATTGATTTTTGTTGACTGTGACATGACTGGGCTGCTACAGCTTGCTGTGATGGTCACATAGATTCTTTTGCTTAGTTGTTGACCGTCAAATCCCAAAGAACACAAGTTCCTCGAAGATTGCATTAATAAAGGCCAAAGAATTAATTTTAGCTACTCATCTTTTATTCTTCTTCAAACAGGAACACTTTCTGAGTTTCCATTTTCTTATTTCTGAAATTCCCTGGGGTCCTCAGTTGTTCACTTCTATCACAGAACTAGGCTGCTGCATATTATGTGCATCATGAATATTCTGGGAGAAAAAATAGCTCCAGTGACAATCTTATTTTGATGACGTTAAGGTGATGCTGCACTTCACAGCTGCCAGAGGGCATGGACTACTGCGAAAATGGCTTTATACACCATGTAGTTAAAGTTCATGATTTCCCTCCAAGAGGTCTGGGTGTTGTATACTTTAAGCATGTTAAGGTTGCTGGGAAATATAGCTTTGTGGTGGGCAAACTACAGTTCCCAGAATTCTGTAAGAAAAGTCATGTGCTTTAAACATACAGTGTATACACAGGATTTGCTATATAACTGGCACTCTTGTTTTCCTCAAAAGGGAGGATAGATTTTAAACTGAAAGTCAGAAGAGAAATGTCATGATAGGCAGCAGAACATGCTAAGAATCCTCCTGTGATCAGGATTCCTGTCTTATCAGAGTTCTCCAGTTGCAATGAGGATTTTACACTCTTAACATGGAAAGGAATGATATAGCTTGCACACAGAGGGACATTGCAAGTGTCCCACCCCAACCCCACACTTACCCTACAGGTGTTTGCCTCAAATGTTTCACGCGGGCTAGTATCTTGCTAGAAAACAGTGGGTGGCATCCAGTGTCATGTGATCAGGCTTCCTCTTCCTCTCGTCTCCCCTCCTCTCAGATTTGCTCCAGAGGTTCTGGAGCAGATCTGAGATGTGTGTAAAGATTTGGGGGAAGTCTGAACCACTTGTGCACAGATACTGTGGGTCACAATCCAATGCCCTATGTGCCTTTCAAGTCAGCAGTGACATGATGATGAGGCTGCCTTCACACCACCCACTTCCGTCTATAAAATGGCTGCAAAAAATCTTCTGAAAAAGGAAGTATTGAAATATTATTGAATCATTTTATCTGGTCACCCTGATGCTGCAAAAAGGACTCAACACGTACACAGGAAGGAGAAAGCCTGACTTCTTTTAAGAATATTTGCTCTCTGAATGGTTTGCGTATCAAATGAAAGTGTCAACATCAAATGCTATCTATATATCCCCTATCACTGCTCCCAAAGGAGTTCCATATGGTGTCACAATGAATTATGAATGCAAGGATAAGTTACTATAGCTCTTCCCCGGCTGGAACAAATTGCTTTCTTCTTGTCAATATCTTCCCTTAACAACCTTTTGGTGTTGCTGGGGTAAACAAGAAGCACCTGCTTCTGCTTCAGGGACGGCAGCGCTCTCAAAATCTTAATCCTTCGATGCTGAAATGAATGTCAAACCATATTAGCACTGCAAAGTGCAGCTCATCGTGTTAAGTGTCGTTTGGCCTGGAAAGGTTTGGGCATCAAAACACAACAACGATGAAATGCTTTTTAATTGCTTGCACAGCATTGCAAAACAAGTAACATTTTCAAGCTGGTAATATTTAAAGGCTAGTCTGCCCTGTGCTTGTAAAAGAGTTAATTAACTTTCTCGACAAGGGTGGTTCATGAGTCAGAGTAACTACTGCAGAAGGACTTAAAATGAGCAATGAGAAGCTGAGAGAGAAAGATTGAATTCCATGGGCTCTTACACGGTTTAAATGGGCTATACAGTGGTACCTCTGGTTACATAGGCTTCAGGTTACACACTCTGCTAACCCAGAAATAGTGCTTCAGGTTAAGAACTTTGCTTCAGGATGAGAACAGAAATCATGCTCCGGTGGCGCAGCAGCAGCAGGAGGCCCCATTAGCTTAAGTGGTGCTTCAGGTTAAGAACAGTTTCAGGTTAAGTACGGACCTCCAGAACGAATTAAGTACTTAACCTGAGGTACCACTGTACCCTTTTTGAGATCAAATCAGAAAGTTCACTGCTACTGATGGGTTCACCTGCAATGGTGGTGTCAGGGGCTGGACTGAGGAGGAATGGTGGGGGACGCCACCCCTTCTCCTGAATCTTCCTGACCACAGGAGGACAGTATAGATTTAGAACAGTGGTTTGCAGAGGGGCATAGTTCAGAGGCTGCAAAGGGCAGAAGCTGGGAAATATTGGAAGAGGAATAGCAGGAAGAAGAAGAAGCACCAGGGAAGAGACAGCTGACAGACTCGGTGTCCTTGAAAAGCATTCCTGACCCCCTCCCCCTCCCCCTCCCAGGACCAGGCGGGCATTGCAGGTAGTAGAACAAAGAGCTCAGAGGCAGAAAGCTCAGATTAGCCCATGCAGGGGTGATGCAGAATAGGGATGATGTAGGGGAGTGGGACTTGGAGCAATGCCATCATGGCATAGAGACTACATCCCTCTCTCTCTCTCTGTGAATACTGAATAAATTACATGGTAAGGCCTCTTCACATCATCTGCTTTCTTTTGGCTGCCCCCGGGGGAGGGATAGTATTCCCTGAGCCTTGACAGGTGGTGGGACTGTTGAGATGGCTCACCTTTGGTAAGTGATGAAATCAATTTATTTGCAGGATAGCCCTACCTCAAATGTGCCCACACAACTGCTTCAATCTGCAGATCTGGCACTGTTACAGGTGCCACATAATACTTGTTCCATGTCTGTAATAAATTGATATTTTAGTGCCGTATCACCCACGCTTCGGAACACCCAGCCAATTGGCATCAATGTGGTGTCTTCACTTGCTAAAAACATTTAGGCAAGCCTTTCCAGGCATGCAGAATGTTGGCATTCAAAATTCATGCTTTTCCAAATGTTGTGATGCAGTTCTCCAAACAACGTTTACAAAAATGCATATGTTACAGGGAAGTGTGCATAAAAATGAAGTTATGGGTGAAAATAACATATGGAAGTTAATTCTCTGGGACAAATTGCTTGCAAAAAATGTGTGCATTAGTCAAAACCGCATCCAAAAACGTTTTAAGAATTTGCAAAGGCTGAACAATTTTCATGGCTTTTTAAAATAGAATAATTGCTGCAGGAATGTGAAGAACTGAATTTCAGATGGGAAAAATGAGAAACTGAGACACTGAAATTGACAGATCCATCTTTACTGTTAATCCCCCGGCAGATGAACAGTGTGGTTTTTGTGGAACTTCACCAGCTGAAGACTCCTAGCACTGGACTTAGCACAGCATACATCCCCCCCCCCGAAAAAAACCCCTTTGTTTGTGAAATCATCACAGGGGCCTTATCTGCTGGTAGGGGTGTGAAATAAAGAGTGGTGCTGTGGTCTAAATCACTGAGCCTCTTGGGCTTGCCACACGATGGGGTGGGCTCCTGCCAACCTAGAGTTTAAAAGCACACCAGTGCAAGTGGATAAATAGGTACTGCTGTGGCGGGAAGGTAAACAGCATTTCCGTGCACTCTGGCTTCTGTCATGGTGTTCCGTTGCATCAGAAGCGGTTTCGTCATGCTGGCCACATGACCCGGAAAGCTGTCTGTGGACAAACTCCAGCTCCCTTGGCCTGAAAAACAAGATGAGTGTCACAACCCCATAGTTGCCTTTGACTGGACTTAACCGTCCAGGGGTCCTTTACCTTTTCACCTCAGCCCTAATTGCCCATTCAGAAGGGAAGACAGAAAGAAGACAGGAATAATTATTTTGGTGATGGGACATAAGTTAAAGTGCTACGTAGACATTTTGGGCATTTCAGTAATTTTACCCCTAATTTCCTGACTCTCTGAGACAGGGAGTAAGTCTGCAATCCTATAACCATTTATGTGAGAGTAAGTCCCATATAGACATGCATAGAGTTGCACTGTGACTTCCTTTTTTGCCACTGGGAAAAGTAGACTTGGAGGATGAGTGGGAGTCAGAATCAATCGAGACTTGGAGCATTGCAGAGGGATTGTGCTGGGCCTTCAGGAGAATGTGGAGCCGGAGTAACGATTTGAGGAAGGACATTACATGTCTTAGCAATGAGAGAGTGAATGGCTTTGGCAGCAGGGTATGAGGTGGAAGCGAAAGGACAATGATGTGGTAATGAAGGTCCAAAGAGAAGGTGGCAAAAGAAAGCAAGGTGGAAAATAGTCACAACATGAACTGGAGGATAGGTTGGAAGGGGCAGAATTTTGCAACAGGAGAAATGCCATGGCTGAGCTTTTTGTTTTTGTTTTAAAGAGGGGCAGGGAGTAATGAAGCATAAACAGGGGTGTGAAATTTTGGTTTGGGAGACCAATAGTCAGAAGTATTTTTAAAAAGATAATGGAGACTGAAAGGCAGACATTCTCCACCCTCATCCTTCTATCATGGAAGGAGTCTCCATCCCCATCGTTCAGCCCGGACACTGAGGTCCAGCTCTGAGGGCCTTCTGGCGGTTCCCTCACTGTTAGGAGTGAAGTTGCAGGGAACCAGGCAGAGGGCCTTCTCAGTAGTGGCGCCCATCCTGTGGAACACCCTCCTATCAGATGTCAAAGAAATAAACAACTAGCTGACTTTTAGAAGACATCTTAAGGCAATCCTGTTTAGGAAAGTTTTTAATGTTTGAGATGAGGAAGTGTTTTTAATATTCTGTTGGGAGCTGCCCAGTGTGGCTGGGGCAACCCAGCCAGATGGGTGGGATATAAATAAATTATTATTATTATTATTATTATAGCACAAAAGCAAAGGTAACCATGTCCAGTAATCTAAACTGGAGATGAGGAAGTGGCATCCAGGTTAGCTGACATTGGAGCTATGGATGCAGTCGGCATTTAGTTATAGGCTGAACAGAGCTTCCTCAAATGACTACTGGTATTTTCCAGAATTGGCACTTTCCACAACTGGTGCTTTCTGTGGTTTCACAGGTGGGTTGATAGTAATGCTGCTGTGCTTGAAACACACTCACATTTTGCTGTCCAGGAAAACTATAAAAAACACACACAACCAAACCAGTTCTGTAGGTTTTCCATGTGATTAATATTTAGCTAGGGAAAGGTAAACTGTGGGACAACTCTAAAAATAAAGGGTGTTAAAAAGTTTTACACTGAATTTTAATGTAATGAAAAAGTAGATTTCCAAGATGATGCTGACAACTTTTCTTGCTTTGTTATCAGCTGATATAATATGTGGAACACAGGTAAATTAAGTTGTTATAACTATTATCAATGTAATATGTGTCTATGTCATGTTCAGGTAGAAGAAATGTACATTAAGTTGTCATAACTGTTTAGCATGCTATATATATTCATTTCATAATATAAGCCCTTTGCCCTTCCCTGCACTGCAAATCCGTGGCAGGAAATATTTTTCATCTGCTTATCTTGTTTGAATATTTAATGTCTGCGTCATCATGTGGGTTGAGACTTTGCATTAGGCTGTGAACGAAAGTCAGACTTGAATGGACACAGCTTCATCAACTTGGATTTGCATGAACTAATAAGGCTTGCATCTGTGGCGATTTGGACCTTTGATGGTGGATTGATGCTAGAGATCCTTGCTCCCTTGGAGTCTATCTTTCTTTGAGGTGAGTTTAACTTATTATTTGGGGATTCTGGTGGAGATTTTGTGAAGAGGTTGGGCTAAAGACAGTAAAGAGTTTCCTCCTCCTTCAAGTATTCTGCCCTGGTTAGCAGAAACTACAGGAGGGGAGGGGAAAATCTAAAAACCCTGTCCAGTACAGTAGCTGGACAAACTTTGAATTAAAGCACAGTGCTCTTCTCAAGAATGCTGAGAATATACACTGAACTCTTTGCCTTCTTTTGGGAAGATTTCCTATAGCCAGAAGACTCTGAATCCACACACAAGATTTTGGATGTTTTTAAAAAACAAAATAGGAACTAAATCTCTTTCTCTCATCATTTCAATGTTATGCACATTTATCGCAAATATAAGATGCTAGTTACAGTTGGCAACTCACTAAAGTGACATTTAGTCAATGGGCATCTTGTTTTTAATTGTTTTATTTTAGTTGGAATAAAAGTTATGTTTAAATTATGCCTGAAAATATTGCAGTAGAAGTGAGATACTCTGAACTGTCTGGTTTTCTTTGTTTGTTTAGCATATAAATCTTTGCATTAAATAAAGTATCTCCGTTTTGAAATCATTATGCTGCTTATATTTGAAGACACATAACAGTTTCCCTTGCGTAGGAAACGCTGAAAGACAATGTATTATTTGGAAAGCATGTGAAACATGGCTAGTCTGAAGGGATATACATAAATTGTTTCCTGCGATGACCTCAGAATTACAATATTTTCATCTGAGATAGCCCTGATTAAAAACAAGTTAACTAGACATTAAAAGAAAACCACCTTTTGCAGTGGGTTGATTGATCACATGAGATGAGGTGCATATCATAAAATGCCAGTTGCCCTAACACAAAGAGCGCTCCTTTACCAAGAAAATTGTTCCCTTGTGTATTGCATGTTTAAATATATTTTCACGCTAAATAAAAGATGCTTCAGTGCATACTTCTATTTTCACAAGCACTCCTGTTTCTGAGAACTCCTGAGATGAGGAAAAATTGCTTGTAGCCTGTGCTTTCCATGGGAATAAATGAGGAGCCAGTACTCATGTTTTGATAAACATGCTGTGGGTACCAGCACACAGTGGTTGCCATAGGTAGCAAAAAAAAAGAGGAAATGGTATTCTGTACTGGTGAGTATGGTAATAAAAAGCACTGCTTATAACTATGGTTGCAGTTCCAACCGTGTCTACTCAGTAAGTCCCATTGAATTTAGTGGGGCCTACCCCCAGGAAGGTGGGGTTACAATTCCAGCCTAAGAAACTTGACTGTGGGGGAAGTTCCAGTCATTTATCCCAATTCCACCTCCCCACACATTACTTCATCTGTGCCCCACTTTCCCATCTGCCCCTGAGCTGTTGCCACAGGCTAAAAGCATGAGATAGGGCCAGGCCTGCTTCTGCTCTTCCAAACTTTGAGGAGGAAAGAGGTACAGAATATTTTCCTGTTCTAACCCAGGAACTGTGATTGGGTGGTGCTGTTTAGTTGTCTTCCCTTCCACCAACAGAACTGAATTCGTATTCAGAATTCGTATTCGTATCACAGAATAGGGTTTTCTCATGGGTCTCCTAAGAATGTGCTTCTGAAAACTGGGGGGCCCTTGGAAAAGGGTGCAGTGTGGAGGGCCGCAGGGGGGGAGGGGGACCACAGAAGTTTCCCCATTGTATGAAAGGGACAGAAATTACACGCTGAAATTATCCAATGATTTGCTAGTCCAGCATGCTTTTCTTCTTCTTGTGTCACAAGATGGATCAATAGATTCCACTTTTACAATGCTGATCTATTTCCTCACCTACTGGAGTTCCTTATTCCCCGTAAGCACTGGGTACTTTCTTAGTGCATGTTTCAATCTACATTTATTAAAGTAATGTGAAATATTTTCATTAGCCATGCAAAATCTCACGCTGTGCTTCTAACATTCTGCCTTTCCAAATTCTTTACAGAACTAAGAGTCAGAAAAACTAAAGTTTTTGGGGGGTCTCTCTCTCTCCTTTAAAGAAACTCCATGGGAAATATAGGCACACTCAATTCCAAGCTGTTTACATTCCTAAACAGTAGCACTCACTTTTCTGGGACTATAAACAGTAGCACTCACTTTTCTGGGATTATAAACAAAGCAAATGCAACATGTGAACAACTCGGGTGAAATCTAAGAATGAACATCCACTTTATGTTTGAAACCAAGGGAAGATGATGAGGAAAAAGCATTTTTTGGCTTGGCTCCTGCATCCTGTTATAGGCTTGCTTGCAGAGCTTAGGAAAGAGGCTTACACATTCCATTTACGCAACATCCGCAATGAAACTGTTAATGAGGGGCAACAGCAAACCCAGCCGATGAGTATTGGCAGGACTGTAGCCCAAGTGGGGCCACTGAGTAACAGGAGAGGTATCAACATGTTCAGGGGAGCCCTGAAGTTTGCAGAAGTAGGAGTAGTTCTTGGGACAGGGGACTTAAGGTATGGCACCTCTCTCTCGTGGGTGGGGGGACAACGCAACCCATTGAAATCTGAGCACATTTAGAGGCCACAGAATCTTAAGTGTATATTGGGAGAAGGGCAGGAAATGGGGAAGTGGAATGCAGTATCCCCAAAGAGCTGGAATGGGGAGCATTTAGTTGGCTTTAAAAAAGGATTAGACAAATTCACGGAGTACAAAGCTATCAATGACTACAGGCTGTGATGACTATATTCTACCTTCACTATTGGAGACATTATGGCTCTGGATACCAGTTGCTTGGAATCACAGCTGGAGAAAGTGTCTGCTTTCTATAGGTATCTATCTATCATCTATCTATCTATCTATCTATCTATCTATCTATCTATCTCTATCTATCTATCTATCTATCTATCTATCTATCATCTATCTATCTATCTATCATCTATCTATCTATCTATCATCTATCTATCTATCTATCTATCTATCTATCATCTATATATTTAAAATTGTATACCGCCCCTCATCCATAGATCTCAGGGCAGTTCACAACATTACAATATAAAAAACACAAAATACATAATAAAAATAAGAACAAAAACACACACTAATAATTCCCCCTCTGACTGATGTCAATCAGTGGTTAGGCAATGTGAGAAGGGGATGCGTCATCCTCTAGGGCACGTTCTATGTTCTTATGTTCATTCTGCACAGCAACATTTTGCTAGATATATAATATACAGTGGTACCTTGGTTTACAAACAGTCCTGTTTACTAACTATTCGGTTTATGAACTCCGCAGAACTGGAAGTAGTGTCCTGGTTTGCGAACTTTACCTCGGTCTAAGAATGGAAGCTGAACAGTGGAAGGGCATCGGCGGCGGGAGGCCTCATTAGGGAAAGCGTGCTTCGGTTTAAGAACAGACTTCCGGAACGGATTTAGTTTGTAAACAGAGGTATCACTGTATAGTTATATTGCTTTTTTGTAGAATCTGTTTTAAAAGAACAGGGATTATATCCAAGATGTTTATAGCAATGCACTGCTGGGGGGCAGGGGCGGGGAAGCCTTGCCGTTTCCACTGTAGAGCAAGCAATTAGTATTGTTCACCCATAGCTCTTAATATGTCTTGTAATATGTGCTTACCGTACACAGCAATTGTGTATCTAGTAGTTCTGCTTTTTCAGACAAATATTAGCAGATAGATCTGCTGGATTACGCCTGTTTGCTCAACAAAGTAAGCAGAACTCAGCCAACGAGTGTTGGTTTCTGTACACAGTGACCCCTTTGAAAAAGAAGCACAAAACAGAGCTCCGTTTGTGCCTTTTCTTCCCTTTGTAGAGGCTTGCGCAAAAGGTTGACTGCATGCGCTGTGCTGCGTGGCTCCTTTTGTTCCTAATGTGCCTATAATGTTTAATTAAATAGTAGTAAGGATTTCCAGTGAGTGGAGTGGAAAAAGTTTATAGAACCATTTGCTTGGTCCTCTCTCTCTCTTAGCAGCTGCTTCCTGGACATACTGGCTTTTAATAATGTACTCCATTCTGACTTCTAGAGAGCTTAAGAACAAGCATTGTGATGGGGTTTGTAAACGGGACTTGTACCTTTTAGGAACAGTTTACAAGCTGAGTGGCTTCTCATCTAAAGATGTCTTGCAAGATGAAGAAAGCCCACTTCAAAGAAATGGGAAACTGAGGCTATGGCAGAGACCCCCCATTTTAACAGAGAAGGTAGAAATTGGAGATTGTTTAAAAGCCTACTTTTGCCATTCTACAGCATCTTCCTCTTACTGTATAATGAAAAGACTTCCAAGATGGACTATGTTAAAGTATTTATTTTTTTTGGGGGGGGGGAGAAAGAGCAAAACATATTCTCTTCCAGAAAATATCTCTCTTATTCAAGACACAGAGAAAGAGGCAGTTTCAAAAGCTGACTTGGTGGATGATATCTAGCTAAGGCAGCCCTATATCAGGAAGTTGTCATTAAAGGCAGCAACTGTTTTAGGTGCATCTGATATGTGTGCGACCATGAACATGCGCATCTTGCTGAACCTGTAAGTGACCCAAATACACACAAAAAGGGGGAGAATGGGGCAGGGCAGGGGCAGAATGGGGTGTTTGCAGGCTTTTTCAATGGTGTTTCAAATATACGCGATTCCACCTAAATGTGTGGTATCTGGGAACGTAACCCCCATATAAATTAGAAGTTGCCATCATCATCATCATCATCATCACTGCAATCCAGTTCTTGCCCCTTGCCCTGGCAGGGCTTTATGGAGTGGCTGGACCACCTCTTAGCGCATCCACAGTCCTACCACACACTGCAACTGGAGCGGAAGTTAGGACAGGAAGATAGCTGGCTGTGCAAGCCTAGAAAGCTATGATGGCAGTGAGATCTGAAGGGGACCCAGCCTAGAGATGGGGGAGAAATTTGATTCAGTTGGCATTTAAATCCGCAGTTTTCAAAGCTGTATGAGAACCAAAACGCAGTCTTCCTTTGAAATTCGCATGTCTCTGAATTTTGCAATGCAATTCTCCAACCAAACAATGCTTACAAAAAATATTAGGGGAAAGTGTGAACATATTTGTGAAAACAACATACAAAAATGCATCGTAGGAGGGGAAATTGCTTGCAAATTAGTCAAGGCTGCATACAAAATGCTTTACTCGAAGAAATTCATTCTAAAACGCTGGTGGGTTTTGATGAGGATTTGAAAAATAAAGAAATCTCAGATTTGCTGCAGAAATGTGGAGAATGAAATTTAAGCATGGAAAATGAGAAACAGAAAGAACTGAAAAGGGCAGCTCCTTCTGTCCCCTGGTCCAAAAGTTCCTGGGCCAACTCATCCCCTACCCACCTTCATCACATCCCATTGGGGACTTTCTGTTGGCTACTGGTAGCGAGGATCTTACGAGGGCTGCTCTACCACCTGCACATTTGACAGATGAAAGATGGAGTGCAGGGACAGAGTGTCACTTGTCACAGCCATAGAGCTGGGCAAACAAGTAACACAAGCACAAGGGGTTTGGATTGCTCTGTTAGCCCTACTCAGAATAGACCCATTGAGTAGAGGCTTCTGAGTTGAATATCGGACTTCTGAGTAAACATGCTTAGAACTTGGCTGTAAGATATGTAGGGCCCAAAGCCATTTGGGGTTTATAGGTTAAATCCAGTAGCTTGAATTTGATTGGAAAGCAAGAGGACCTGGAGCCTATTGTTGCAACACAGATTTTATTCTCTGGGAAACTGGGTGCCAACCTCACTGCTCTCCCCATTGCTTTAGTTACAAGGCAAACCGCTCTGTGCTGCACCAGCTGTTAAGTTTCTGACAGCTCCTAGCATTAATATGGCATGTTCCCTTGCCATTTTTTTGTGGCACTTGTGGTAAACTAGATGCAGATATAGCTTCTGTTTAACCTTTAATGTCTGCTACTTTTAAAAAAGGTTATTTAAAAAGAAAAAAGTTTAAAGGATATGATTTACAGTTTCCTTTAATTGCCAACCCTAGTTTGTCAAACGCTGAGAAAATAGTTCACTAAAAAAGGAATTGTCCCAAATTAAACATTGTTGCATTTGAATGGCATGACGTTCCATGGAAAGTTCAAGACTAGCACAAACATTATGATGGGATGCTCTAGGGCTCAAAATCTTTGCTAATGTTAGAGAAATACCTCGGCTAAATACATCAACTAATAGGTCTTACCTAAGCAAAGTGAGACATTTACAGGCAACCCCATTTTGCGTGTGTTCAAAGCATGCACAAACATGCAGAAGTGAGTCATTTTTGGACCTGGAAGAGGGTGGTACAGGGGTGGGGCAGAGGTGTAATGGGGCATAACAGGGCTGGGTGGGCATATGCGTGTTCCATCAACACATTTGATGGCCAGAAATGCACCAAAATGTTGCCATTATGGGTTCCTACTGAACGTATTCCCAGCCACTCCATTCTATCCCTTGTGGGTCCCCCAGGTAGCATTTTTTGCCTACTGAGGATGCTCAATCCATTCTGGAATTTTTTTTGGGGGGGTCTCATTCACAGAGGTTTTTTCATCCTCTGAAAATCATGCTTGAAACCTCTCTCTTGTGTGTGGATGATACTGTTTGGGCTACATAAGGATTGGCACTTTACCCTTGAACTACATAAATAAAAAGAAATATTGACTTGTTAATACAAGAAAAGCTGACATAATTTGCAACTTGCCTAGTAAAATGAAGTCTCTCTAAGGTATTTGTTTAAGCAACAACACATTGTTCCATATATGTATAATATATACCATAATAAATTGTCATAAACTTACACTTACCCTCTCACAATTCTGAAGGCAAACCTGTTTAGTGAAGTTTTTAATTTTTGATGTTTTATCATGTTTTTAATATTCTGTTGGGAGCCACCCAGAGTAGCTGGGGAAACCCAGCCAGATGGGCAGGGTATAAATAAATAAACAACAACAATTATTATTAAGCATGGATTTGTGGAGAGATGAGAAACAAAGGTGTGGGTTTGCAATAGGTTTTTCCAGAGAGCTACATCCCAAGAAGTGTCAGGTGGTAGATTAGCACCACAAATTTCCACCTCCAAAAGTGGTCTACATCTTCCTCTTCCACATATCCCTTACCTCTCAGCTTTCTGATACTACATCTCTTGCCTTCTCAGTAAAAATGTTCCAGAGGAGATGGTAGGCACAGAATGATGAAGTGGAATATTCTTATAAAGATTTCTTTGATTGATTGATTGATTGATTGATTGAAGACCAAATGATGAATCAACTAACAGCCTCAGTACTCTGCAACCAGATGAATGTCACTGTTTTGTATTTCCAATCACTGTTATTGCATTGCTTATTAGAAATTGCCTAATTGCACATTTACTGCTGCAATGTCTTATGGTGATTTTTATTTCTAAAATGCCCTTGTACTGTATACCATATTTGTGTGAGTTGGTTTTGGGACTAATATTTGCTCAGTTGATAATGCTTTGATTCTGCATTTTCTCCCTTATAGGGACAATGCCACTGGACCTGCATTGAGTAATCTCTGGGTCTGAGTAATCCTGGGTTAGGTAAAGGGATCCCTGACCATTAGGTCCAGTCGTGGCTGACTCTGGGGCTGTGGCGTTCATCTCGCTTTATTGGCGCATGCGTGTGATGTCATTTTGAGCGTCTACGCATGCACGAGCAGTGAAACCTGGAAGTAACGTACTCCATTACTTCCATGTTACCGCGGAGCGCAATTCAAATGCGCTCAACCCAAACCACATTCAACTCGAGGTATGACTGTACTTGCACTTTGACATGCTTTCGAATTGCTAGGTTGGCAGGAGCAGGGACCGAACAACGGGAGCTCACCCCGTCGCGGGGATTCAAACCGCCAACCTTCTGATCAGCAAGTTTAACCCACAGCGTCACCTGCGTCCCTGGGTTAGATTGGACATTAGGCACTAAATAGGACCCCAGCCTAGATGATGTTGTGGATGAGATCACTGCTAATAAGTTTAATAAAGCTGGGAGCCTAAATCTGAGTTCCCCTGCCAGGCACTCTACAGAACAATATTTAGATCTGTGCTAGATATGCATTTATATAATCTACAGCCCATTTAAATGGAATGTCGCTTTCTTTCTTTTTCTTTTTTTTTAAATGATATTTATTAAAATTTCAAAAGGAAAAGATTACATTAAAAAGAAAATTAGCAGTAAAAAGAAAAGATACAAAATACAAAAAAGAAAAAAAAAGAAAAACCAATTAAAAACAATTCCATCTTTTCATCACTTCTTTTACATTTACTTGTTTCCCAGACCTCCTCATACCTCCCTCTTTTGTATTCCAATTCAATTTATTAATCCAGCGATTCCTTTCCCTCCTTTTTAATCCTGATCTTTAATCCTGATATATTATAACATTAAATTTTTAGATATTAAAAACCAATTTTTCCATATTCTTTTATACCATTACAGCTAGAAACCACTTAACTTCAATCCAACATCATTCTAACATTCATTAATTTTGCAATGTTTCTGTAAATAGTCTTTAAATTTCTTCCAATCTTCTTCCACCGACTCTTCTCCCTGGTCTCGGATTCTGCCAGTCATTTCCGCCAATTCCATATAGTCCATCATTTTCATCTGCCATTCCTCCAGTGTGGGTAGATCTTGTGTCTTCCAATACTTTGCAATAAGTATTCTTGCTGCTGTTGTAGCATACATAAAGAAAGTTCTGTCCTTCTTTAACACCGATTGGTTGACTATGCCCAGGAGGAAGGCCTCTGGTTTCTTAAAGAAGGTATATTTAAATACCTTTTTTAATTCATTATAAATCATCTCCCAGAAAACCTTAATCCTTGGACACGTCCACCAAAGGTGAAAGAATGTACTTTCTGTTTCTTTACATTTCCAACAGGAATGTCGCTTTCTCTTAGCTAAAGTGCTTTTCTTAATTTATTTGTTTGCATTATTTTATTATTCCCCTGCTCCATTCAACGAAACTGACAGATAGTGATGGGAATTATTATTTCTTAATGCAGTTATTTCTATAACTGATAAATGTTAAGAATTGTCCAATTAGATCAGACTTGATTAGCTAGTTCTTAAAACAGAGCCATTTGTCATTATTAGGTGGAAAGGAGACTGGAGACAATTACTCACAAGGAAACTAAAATGAGGAAATGTAAAATATTAAATTAATCAGGATGGAGGATCTGCTAAATAGGAAACGAGCCGCCCTGCTCAGCTGCCTGCTGAACTGTGGTCTGATTCTTGAATAGCCACAAGTGTTACACTTTCCCATGTGCAGCACTTGGGAGGAGCTCCTCTGAGTAAAAGTAATGACATGAAAGCAGGCCTTCAGAAGACTATGGTCCAACTGAAGAGTATTCATTTGCTGTCAGGTGCTGGGCAGAGGAGAAATGGTGGAGACCGCCTCCCCAGCCTGACCCTTCCAGAGAAGAGGAAGGCAGTATAGATTTACAACAGGGGTTTGAGGGAGGTCACAGCTCAGAGGCGGATGAGGGGGAAAGTTGGGAAATAATGGGAGAGGAGGAGGAGGAGGAGGAGGAGGAAGCAGCAGGAGGGCAACAGCTGACAGACACAGTGTCTTTAGAAAACATTCCAGACCCTCCATCTCCCAGAATCCGGCGAGCCTTGAAAGTAGGAGAGCAAAGAGCTCAAAGACAGAGGACACGTAGCAGCACCCATGGAAGAGACGATGAAAATGACAAATGAGGAAGTGGGAGAAACAAGGGGTAGAGATTCACTCGGGACAATGCCAATATCAAGTAAATATCAAATAAAAATAGGATGATAAGAAACATCCCCTTGTCTTGTACGTTCCTGGGCAACCAGCCTGGAGTTGCTGGCAGCAGCCTGACATTTGCTCTGCATCATACCACTTGAGTGTGACATACTAAATTGCAACAATATTGACCCAACAAATTAATTTAAGCTGCAATGGTGAATCTAGGCATCCTTAAAGATTTATCTCCCCTCCCTTCTTAAATATTTTGGCCTAAGGTAGACTTCTCTAACAAAGTGCTCTCCAAATGTTGTTAGAACTCCAATGCTCAGCCCCAGCCAGGAAGGTCAGGATGAAGAGAGTTGTGCTGTAAAACATCTAAAGGACATCTGGTTGGGGGTGGCTTAAAGAGAGACCAATGGCTTTGGCAAAAAATCAGATGGAGACCCTTCACTCCAAAACATTTCATGGCCTCTTGTGTTCTGGAATCCATCATTTAACATAATTTATCATGATCTCATTCACAATGAAGAGAACACAGAGGAGAATTTCTTAGAAATGAATCAGCAAAACAGCCCACAAAAAGTCAAGGAAAGCAGATTGAAAGGGAGCAGATGAACCTTTGGATGAGTAGCACCTTCACGATACTAAATCTTCTGTCACATCAGTGGGAAAGTTTAAGTCCAGCTGTTTTCATCTAGGCTGGGTCCAGAATCATAGCTCATACATCATTCCATGCTGCACCACAGTAAAGATGGAAACTAAGGATTTGGGCCTGTCATGTAAAATATTCACTGTCTGGAAAAAGCATTTCAATCACTTGGGGGTTTGGGTAGGGAAACTCTCTTAAGAGTAACGTAGAAAATCTCATGGGCTAAATGCCCAGAAAGAGATTCTCAAGGGAACCATTTGCTAGGCTAGAAGAGTGTATTGGTGTGTTTCCAAAATGATGTATTTCTTTATCTATTTATCTATTTATTGATATCGTCATTTCAACTGAGTTTTTATCATGCCAGGAACAAGACATTTCCACATCCTGACAGTCTAATCCTTTTTTTGCTTTTTGCCACTATCCTCTGTAGAGCTGCAAGCAAAGTATTGTATGCAGCAGCTAAAGTGTCACCCTGTGCAAGGCAAGTGGAACAGACTTTCATCCCTCCCCTCCATAGCGATATATTCCAGCAAACAACTGTGTTGGCACTAAGAAGAATGGGAAGCCTGGGAGAGGGGAGAATACCAAAGCGTTTTACGTGCTGAGTATGCAGTACTGTCTAGGCCAGCTCCTACTGCATCACAGTCATTTCTTGGTAACTGCAGTGATGTAATCAGTACTATTGAATGATTAATTATTTGGCTGGAACGTGTCCTGCCCCCCCCCCTTTAATCATGCTGCTCAACTCATTTGGGTAAATAGGCAAAGTCCATTTGTATTAAGGAACTGGTTTGTAGACTGGATTGCCAGTGTTCCATTTCTGATTGAAAAGCCGCATCCCCTTCCTCCTCCTCGTGATCGTTTTATTTTTTTACTGGAAAGCCCACTGGCAAATATTGTGATAACCTTAAAAGTCCATTATTGACAGTGTGAAGCCTTCCTGCATCATGATTTTCCTCTGTATGTTATTTACACTTTGGGTCTTTAAAAGCTGAATATGTCAGTCTAAAGATTGCTAACACCTTGAAAGGGCTCAAAGGCTTATGTCAGGATTGCACAACTGACATAAGGTGTGGAAACTTTTTCCTCTTGACGGCCATATTCTGATGGGGAAAGTTGCCGCAGTGTCGCTTACACATATGTGGTGAGAGAAGCCAACTCCCCACACCATTTGCGTGCCCAGACATACAAGCACACACCCACACACCAAAGTGCATTCACAATCACACAACCTCAATGAAATCCACCCCCCTACACACATAACATTCACACAATTGCAAACTCTTAACACAGAAGAAAATAAAACTCACACATTTTGTCTCAGGCCTAAAATAAATATTCATGTTGTAATTTTCTCTCTTGGCAGGAAGCCCTCTTCTTCTGGATGGTAACAATAAATAGATCCTGTTTTGACCATAAAAGAAGAACTGCACACACCACAATCAGACTGGGCCTAATATGTGCTTTCAGGAATCTGAGTCTTTAGGAAGGATGCAGTTGTGTTGTGAACACATAAATGGCTCCTGCATAAAGAGCAGCTGGTCAATCAGCATTCGTATTTCCATGTATATCTTCATGGTGTGTGTGATCCTGGCTACCCTAGCTGGCAATTTGACTGTGATCATCTCAATATCGCACTTCAAGCAGCTCCACACCCCAACCAATTTCTTAATCCTCTCAATGGCCACAGTGGACCTTCTCCTTGGTTTCCTTGTCATGCCTTATAGCATGGTGAGGTCGGTTGAGAACTGCTGGTATTTCGGAGAATTCTTCTGCAAAATCCACACCAGCATCGATATCACTCTGAGTACAGCCTCCATCTTCCACCTCTCTTTTATCTCCATTGACCGCTACTACGCCGTGTGTGACCCACTGCGATACAAAGCAAAGATCAGCACAGGGGTCGTATTGATCATGATCTTTGTAAGTTGGGTCTTCCCTGCTACATTTGGCTTTGGGATGGTCTTTTTGAAGTTAAACATGATTGGAGCAGAAGAGACCTTCTATAAGCTGATCTATTGCGTGGGAGGCTGCTTTGTCTTCTTCAATGAAACGTCAGGAGTGGTGGCCTCCGTGGTTTCTTTTTACATCCCTGGATTTGTCATGTTATGTGTCTATGGGAAGATATACACTATAGCCAAAAGGCAAGCCAGGTCCATTAAGGCTGCTGCAAACCAAATACAGATCAGATTTGAGCATCACATTTCACACAGCAGAGAACGAAAAGCAGCCAAGACTTTAGGCACTGTGGTCGGGGTCTTCCTCATCTGCTGGTTCCCATTCTTTTTCTGCACGGCAACAGACCCCTTTATGAATTATGCAATACCTCCCATTCTCATTGATGCCCTGGTTTGGTTTGGTTACTTGAACTCCACCTTCAACCCAATTGTTTATGCGTATTTTTACCTATGGTTTCGAAGGGCCTTGAAGATGATTGTACTGGGGAAGGTTTTTCAGCAAGATTCATCCAGGACTCAGCTCTTTATGGAGTGAAGCACGTCGAGCTTTGAGAGCATATTCTTCAGTATTTTACCAGGCACTGTCCATTTTGAAGCAGAAGGTCAAAGTGAAAAAGCATGTGCGATGCTTCAGTGCAGTTGCTCCAGCAGCCCCATCATGGCCCAGAAACAGGGTGCTGACCAATAACCAACCAAGAGAGAAGTATGGGTGCCAATGGGCCATAACTTATTGGCAAACAGACATAGGCGGAGCAAGCATGCATTGGGTGACAATCTGTTGACATCAAAGACTTTCAACCTGTAAGCCAACCTTCATTGGCTGGGGCATCCATTTGGTGGGTTTTCCAGCTCTGAGAGACCAGTGTGGTACAAAACCAAGCATCTGAGACCACTGGTAGCTTGAGATGGCTGCTCAGCAGCCCAGCCCCCTGGACCTTGAGCTGGGAACTGCTCACCTTTCAGGTCCCCTAAAGGGAATCCCCTTTATCCACCCAGCCTACCCAATTCTATTTCTGCCAAGTCGCAACAAAGAAGAAGGAACACATAACAGAACTCTTGCTACCCACCTAGAGAAAGACTAAGGACCAGTTGAGATTGAGTGTGAAATTTTGAAGTTTTGTCTACTCATGGAAAAGGAGGAAGGAGGCAGAGTGAGATGGTAGCTGGTCCTTTAAAAGGTTCATGCAACCCCACAACTCTAGAAGATCCCACTAGAAGATCCCTGATATTGCAAAAGCCCCCTCCTTCTTCCTTTGCCATGGCAGCCCTCCCAACCATCCTGGCAGCTCTCATGAGTTCACTGGGCCAAGGGTTGTAGCTGTCAAACTGATCAGCAAGCAGGTCACAACATTTTTATTGTTGCTTTGGATTTGGGAAGGATTTGGAGTTTGTTACTGCTATGAGTTTGGGGAGGACAAAATAGGCTGTATGCAAGATCCTTCAAAACCCTGGTTTCAGTAAATGTTAAAATATAAGCCAGGCTAGCTTCCTGTGTTGAGGTGGTAGCCTGGGTGATGGGCTGTTAAGAGAACAAAGGGCTCTGTGTGAGACAGAGAATAGGTAGCCCCCCCCCCTGACAAAACCAAGTTTGGAGGAGAGAGTTAGCAGTGATATGGCCTAGAAGGAAAGTAGCAAGCTGGGGAGAAAGGGAGAGCAACGTTTGATTTCTGTTTGACTCCAAGGCTGTGGCTATGAGAGAAACAAGATGCTTTTGGGGTGTTAATGCTGTGAACATCTCCATCGGACGTTCAGGTTGTATATATGTTTAATATAAACCATATATCATAAAGACGCCCCAATCTCTGCCATGCCTCATTTCCAAAAGGAAACACGAACCCTGGAACTGCTGGAATGTTGCACTGCTCAGAGACTGGGGTGACGTGCAACATTATTTTAAGAGACAGAAAGTGGGATTAATGGCTATGTACTTCTTTCCCGCTCTTTCCCTTTACATTATCACTAATGAAATGGCCCTTGTTTTGATGGGAAAGGGATTGTGAAGGAAAGAGCTGCATATTGCAGAGATGCTTGGGGTTGGGTCAGGCTATGAGGGCACTGGAACAGTGCCTTCAAATGCAGTGCTCCACTTAACATTTTCTATACACATGGTTTTTTGTTGTTGTTGTTTCTTAAACCTGTGCAGTTACCAGATTTGTCCAGTATGTGATGTTATACAAAAGATGACAATAAAGCACATTTGTAAACCTTGATTTAATTCTCCTTGATTAGGTTTCTAAATCACTTATCGTATGACTGAAAATTTTACTACTTATTTAAAGTTCATATCTTACTTTTCTTCATACAATGTCAGGGCAATTTACAGCAATGAACACATCAGACAACTGGTAACAGTAAAACATGATAACTCAGTAAAATGAGACAAAACAGCTCGCATTTGTCAATATGTCACTGCCAGTTCAATATTTCTTTTACTACATTTTAAATTTCTTCCTAACAAATAGATCAAAGGTTGACCTTGTATCCATCAGCATGATTATTTAAGTATGTGACCTAACTCAGAAATAACTTCTTCCTCTTGTGTGTGATTAGGCAAAGTTTCCCCAAGAGTCTCCCTGCCTTTTGTTTTCAAAGTATAATGTCCCATCAGAGACAACCATGTTTTTGCAAAAGTCTTGCAGTATATGGCTTCATTAGCACCTAATCAGTGCTGTTGTGTAGCTGTCCTCACTAAAACTGAGAAATGCATCAGAGATGTGTTAATGAGGTCTCTTGGTTTCTGTTCAGATCCAGTGTATAGCAAATGAGAAGCAAATGAGGGAAATGTGTTGCGCTTTTGTCTGATCCCATTTTGGATGGAAATTAACCCGTGAGCAGGTAAACAAATATGCCTTCAAAGCATCATTAGCCTTATTAGAACTTGAGACATGGGTGATCAGCACATCTAATTGCTCATCTAACTGAACAGGTCCCAGAGGCCAACTCCCTTTCCCTTTTGTTTTAAATAGGTACTTTGTGGATGATGTCATCTTTTTCTCTTTCATGAGAACTAAAAAGATCATGAAGACTGATAGTATGAAAGCATTTGCTTAGCGAATTACTACTGGTGAACCAGTTCAAGTAAATCAAGCAATTCGCTAGTGAATTAGAAATTCAAAGAGACAGTTGTGTCTAATCACAACTACCCCCTTTAACTTTTTTTCAATATAGCCACTGCCTCTTCCTCTCATAATGGGGGACCACTTTCTCTTCTACTCTCCCTACTACACACCCATTGTTTTTCCTCCTCTCGGGCTTTTCCTTCTAGCCTTCTACTCTTCCCTATGGGCTGCTCTCTGAGAGTCAAAGTAGTCATGATGATGAATATGCCATTGGAAACTGCAATGAAAAAGCAAATGTAGGGACCCCCACTTTTTTATATGGGAAGAGAAGCCACAACCCTTTCCTTACCTGCCAAGGTCCTCAAAGAAAATTGTTTTCTCTGTTCAGGGTATTTCAGGTAATAATTCTGAAAATTCAATTTTCCACTGGCCTTTTCCTGCTCATCACTGTCATGCCCTGGCCAAGTATGATCTGGAGCCCCCAGAAAGCAGCTGAGTAGGAGCCAGGACCCTTGTGGGAGACTAGCAGGGACCACTCTCAGCAGAAAGCAAGATCAGTGTCTGAAGCAGAAGGCAGAACCACCATCAAGTCCCTGCAAATGACAGCACCTCTAGAGGCAGGCCAAGATAGTCACAGTTAGGAAGAGTGCTTGGTTGCAGAAGAGGATTCCTTGTGAGGAGGGTCCTTTTCATGAGGAGGACTCTATGGAAACCTCTAAAGGGCTTCAGCTGGGCCCATGGTGAGGTTCTGGTAGCTCTGGCCTAAAAGCCTCAATGTGAGGCTGAGAGAGCTACTGGAACAACATCTTGCTGCCAGCACTGTGTTCTGCTTGCCTGGACCTTGGTTTTCCCCTCAACTTGCATTTCCCCCGAGTCCCTGCTTGACCTAAACCTCCCACAAACTGGTCCTCAACTTGCCTCTTGAACCCCTGTTAGAACCACTTGGGCCTTGGGTTGGCTTTGGACTTCGCTGCTCTCTGTGCCTATGATAGCCTTCGTTATATGGAAGGTTATCTGGGATCATGCTAGGATAGGAAACTCACTTCCAGGGAAGTTCCTTTCTCCATTCCTTCCCCCTGCCCTCACAGCTCTTGTGGAGATGTAGGCTATGGTTGGAATGTACATAGATGAACCTCAGACTTGTTCACCGACCCCCACCCACTCTGGTATGGTAGTGGGGAGGAGACTGGAAGCTTTTACTTCTAACTAGTTCAACATCAATCCAGACAAGCAGTGGTTAATCTTAGATATAATGTATTTGAAGCCAGCTTCAAATAATGGCTTATGAAGCTGTTGTATTTTTAATATGATATCAAGATTAACCACAGCTTACGCTTACGATGTTTCAATAAAATGTGGTTAATTAAAAATGGACTCAATTGCCACATCAGAGGAGGAGAGAAGGAATGGAAGCTCAGCTGACAAACTCAGACCTTGCTTAGGCTTGTTCATATAAATGCATCTCCATAGCTCAGCCATGGACAGTAGAGGGGTCAATCTCTCTATGTGTCTGTCGCAGTTGAGCTTAAACCACCATGCTGCTGCTTCCTTCTTCCTGTCTGGCAACTGGATATGTGTGTGTGTTCCACATTTAAAATGGAATGTATCACATTGGTACCAATGGGAGCTTTTGTCCCAGGGTTAATAGCATTTTGGGGGAGATGGGATTTTTCTTTGGACAGCTCCCTACACACCCATGTTGGTTTTAGAAAGTTTTCAAGCATGCATGTTCATTGCTAGAATGCAGTTTAGGTCACATGATCTCATCGGTCTTTGGAGGATCAATCTTTTTTATAATGTATTTGGGCAGACCTATACATAGTATGGGATGTGGGTGGCGCTGTGGGTTAAACCACAGAGCCTACGACTTGCTGATCAGAAGGTCTGAGGTTCGAATCCCCGTGACGGGGTGAGCTCCCGTTGCTCGGTCCCTGCTCCTGCCAACCTAGCAGTTCGAAAGCACGTCAAAGTGCAAGTATAAGATAAATAGGTACCGCTCTGGCGGTAGGGTAAATGGTGTTTCCGTGCACTGCTCTGGTTCGCCAGAAGCAGAGCAGTCATGTTGGCCACATGACCCGGAAGCTGTACACCAGCTCCCTCGGCCAGTAAAGTGAGATGAGCACCGCAACCCCAGAGTCGGCCATGACTGGACCTAATGGTCAGGGGTCCCCTTTACCTTTATACATGGTATATATTTCTATGCATGTGTATGTATTTATTTTTTAGGATATTTAGGGATCACCCTTCGTCCAAAGGAGCTTAGGGTGAAATACAACAAGCACAAAAGCAAAATACAGCAAACATTAATAAAAGAATGTAGAAACTAAATTTTAAAAAGAAAATCATGAAAACAAGGAGTTTCACATTAAGAATTAAACAGCTCATTTTATTATCATTTTCAAATCACATTCAAGTCACCTTTTATTTGATCATAAAGTCTGCTAGCTGCTGGAGAGTATGTGTGATCCTGAGAGGATCCAACCTTTCTGGAGATTTGACTTCACACTTGTTGTTAACCCCACCTCCTAACTAAACTTCATCTTTTCTTGTGCTTCATATTCTCTTGAGTTCTGGCTGCCGCGTCATAAAAGCATAGCAGCTTTATAATCCCAGTTTATTTTAAAACAGGATATCAGAAAGGACTGAGCCTTCCAGACGTCTCATTCAAATTTAATATTTAAATGGTGGTGTGTAAGCGGACTCAGGTAGGAGAAGAAAGAAGGATGTAAATGTATTAAATGCTATTTTGACTTTTTGTGTACCCATCTCAAGGGCTAGGAGAAAGAGGTCCACAGTTTTGGTTTTCATTTTTAAAGAGGTCCACTGTTGTGGGGGAAGATCAGACCTCCTCTTCCTCTTCCACGAGGCCAGTGTCTGTCTGATGTTGAGGCACGTTAGGGTTGTTCTGGGTGAGGTTGTAGATCCACAGTCCTCCTGTTTGCTTGACATGTTCCCAGAACAGGAGGCAGATTATATGAGCCCCAGATCCCAGTGAAGCAGAACAGGAAAGAAGAAAAAGGGACCAAGCAGCCCTCCATCTTCTCTGGCTGCTGACATGAGCTCAATAGGGCATAGGAAAAGGTGGTTTGCCTGCCTTCGGTTCTCCCATTCCTCCCCCTTTTGATTTTGTCTGCCTCCACAAAGCCATCTTACAACATAGGGGAGTTATTCACATTTGCCAGATGGGGCAGATTAGTCACAGGGTAGCCTGACAAACTGATCCACAAATTGGTTAACATGGCTTACTTAGGAGTACTAAGCCAATTACCGATAATAGGATTTAAGAGTCAATCCCATCAGTTACTGCACCAGTAAAGAGGAGTTCAAGATTGGCAAAAATCTTGGCCACTTTGCTTCATGACTTCTGGTTTTGGAGCAGACTTTCCCATGGATTCAGGATGAATGAAACAATTAAGCTGTGGCATACACTGGCACACTGCCATGGCAAAGACACTGTTCTGAGGACCAAACTAGATGTGCTCTTACTAAGCAGCAGACGGCCATTTATCTTGTTTTTCCTTAACTAAATACAGGCGATGGGGAACCTGATTCTCACTATGAAGGCAACATGCAGAGGGCAGGGAAGCTTATCTGTTGACTCTCCCATTGCACAGAGAACAGAGATTGGCACCCCAGATGCACTAGATGCCCATTCTTAAGCAGCCTTTAAAAAAAACATGGGATGAGGTAGTGAAGAGTTGAGCCTCATCTCCTTGTGTGCTACCTCTGCAATAAGAAACAAGATCCTCCTTGTTTGTTCAGGAGAAACAAGATACGGAGAGGCCAGCGACATATCAAGTGTGGGGTAACTTGCATGTCATTCTCAGAGGCCATCAGTCAACACAATCAGCTACAATAGGTCAGACAGATTTATGGTATAGCCTCTGGACAGATTATAGGAGAGCTGCAAAACAGCATGTGTCCGTTTCTGCATTAAATATTCCATATTCCTATTTTCAGATGAAGAATGGTGGTTTTTCTTAACTCCTCTGTGGCTGCCATTGATTGCTCTGGCTTTGGAAATGGAAGCTGCCTTGAAAATCTCAGGTCAGCAAGTGTTCGAGGAGCCATGTACATATCCCTGAGTGGACTCATTGTTGTCACTATCTTTGGGAATTTGGCAATCATCGTTTCCATTTCGCATTTCAAGCAGCTGCACTCCCCAACTAATTTCCTCATCCTTTCCATGGCAGTTACTGACTTCCTGCTCGGCTTCCTCGTTATGCCCTACAGCATGATCCGATCCGTAGAGAACTGCTGGTACTTTGGGATCACCTTCTGCAAAATCCACTACAGCTTTGACCTGATGCTCTGCTTGGTTTCCATTTTCCACCTCTGCTCCATTGCTGTCGATCGCTTCTATGCCATCTGTTACCCTCTTCACTATTCATTGAAAATGACTATCCCTACTGTCAGGCAATTGATTGTTGTTTGTTGGTCAGTGCCAGCTTCTTTTGCCTTCGGGGTGGTTTTCTCTGAAGCATATGCCTCTGGTATCGAAGACTATGAGCTTTTAGTTGCATGTTCTAGTTCTTGCCCGGTGATGTTTAATAAACTGTGGGGTGTAGTTCTGTTCTCATTTGGCTTCTTCATCCCTGGCTCTGTGATGATAGGAATTTATGCAAAAATCTTCCAAGTGTCCAAAAAGCACCTGAGAGTCATGAAGAGCAGATCTGAAAATGTGGGTGAGGAAAAACACAACCAGGTTTCTAAGAGTAAGGACCGGAAAGCGGCTAAGACCTTGAGTATTGTGATGGGGGTTTTTCTCTTGTGTTGGCTTCCATGTTTCTTCACCATTTTAATCGACCCTTTTATAGGGTTTTCCACTCCTGAAGTATTATTTGATGCCTTAACTTGGTTTGCCTACATCAACTCCATCTGCAATCCATTAATATATGGTTTTTTTTATCCATGGTTTCAAAAAGCACTTAGGTACATCCTCATAGGAAATATCTTCCACTCACAGTCCTGCACTGCTAAGCTGTTCCTTGAAAATCAATAAATTTACATGTGTTCAAGTGAGGCATTCAGTGGTTTCTCTCACATAACATGTATGTTTAAATAAATTCAAAGTATGTACCAGAAGAACTGGAGGTGTGTTGTACCTTGGAACTGTGAGTCTATCTCATAGATATTGGAATGTAGTTAAGCTTTGAATTTCACACTTACCTGAATTTTGTACTGTTTGCATGTGCTTTCTTTTGCACACACACATGGTCTGAAGTGCTTTAACTCATAGAAAGAAAAGAAATATGTCCAGATCAGTGTTGATGTCATGCGTTTAATAATAGAATGAAGAATGAAACTATCCTTCTGGGGAAGGATATCTACGATAAAGATGAGCGTGCTGCCAAAGATGTTATTTTTATTTCAGACTATACCCATTATAAAGGGTATAGGAATTTTTAAAGAATGGCAAAGAGTGATTTCAAGGTATATCTGGCAGGGGAAGAAGCCAAGAATAAAATTTAAGTTATTGACAGATGTAAAAGAAAGAGGTGGCTTCGCCCTGCCAGATTTGAAATTATATCATGAAGCGGCTTGCCTATGTTGGTTAAAAGAATGGATAAAATTAGAAAATAAGGAATTATTAGATCTCGAAGGTTTTGATAACAGATTTGGTTGGCACGTGTATTTATGGTGTGATAAGAAAAAAGTTCATAAGGGCTTTGGAAACCACATCTTCAAGAGTTCTTTAATAGAAGTATGGGATAGATACAAAAATATATTGGAGCCAAAAGTCCCACATTGGTTGTCTCCGCTGGAGGTAATAAGTGTTAAGAAAATTAATATGAGAGGTAAATGGAGTACATATGGTGAATTGGTAATTAAAGAAAGAGTCAAATGGAAATTGAAACCATTTGAACAAGTTAAAGATCATGTATATGATTGGCTGCATTATTTTCAGGTAAATGAAATGTTTAAAAAAGATCTGAAAGAAAAGGGATATATAGAAAAAGAATCTAAATTCCAAACAGACATAATAAACAATGAATATAAAACTCTGTCAAAAATGTATAAGATATTGTTGGAATGGTATACGAAAGATGAAGAGGTTAAATCGGTAATGATACAGTGGGCAAAAGATTTTGGGTACAATATTCAATTTGATGAATGGGAAAAACTGTGGAAAGAGAATATAAAATTTACTGCATGTATGACACTGAAAGAGAATGTTATGAAAATGTTCTACAGGTGGTACATCACACCTGTAAAGTTAGCAAAGATGTATAAAATGTGTAACAAATGTTGGAAATGTAAAGAAAAAGAAGGGACGTTTTTTCATGTGTGGTGGGAATGTAAGAAAGTGAAAAGCTTTTGGGAAATGATATATAATGAAATGAAGAAAATGTTGAGATATACCTTTGTAAAAAAACCGGAAGCTTTTCTGTTAGGGATTGTAGGGAAGGATATAAGAAGAAAAGACAATAAACTCTTCCAATATGCAGTAACGGCAGCCAGAATCTTGTTGGCCCAGAAATGGAAACAAGAGGAAATACCGACGATAGAAGAATGGAGACTGAAATTGACAGACTATGCGGAATTGGATAAATTAACTGGGAAAATCAGATATACTAAAGACCAAAAGTTCATCGAAGACTGGGGAAAGTTTGTAGACTATCTGAAAAATACATGTGGCATGAACACAACGCTAGTGGGATTTCAAGAGGCACTGTAAAAATAGAGAAGTATTGCTTATATGGAATAGTGGAGAAGGGAAGTATAATGGCAATACGAAAGAAGGGAATGTGTAACAAAAGTTATAAATACGGATGATTGTCAGAGACGCTGAAGGAAGTTCAAAAAAGAGACAATTGGATGTATTTTGGATAAAATTGTATAATTATATGGAAAATTAATAAAATTTATTATAAAAAAATAAATAACAAAACCCAGGACATAGTGCTTACAGAATGCACACAAATGTATAGTGTATCTGCAGCCATGATACCAGTGGGGGGAAATCCTTTACACACAAGGAAAAGTCGTCAACTCTGGACTTCTTAAGAACACTTTTGACACACTTTTAAATGTATTTTAAATACATTTAAATCATATTTATTTCTTTACAATTATGTAGAGAGACTGAAATAAAATATCATGGTGTCAAACAAGGAAAATGTCAAGAAGCATATCCTATAAAAACAATGAAGATTGGCCCATTGTATATCAGTCTATGCATTTTAGCATATCCATTTCATTTGCAAGTATCTTTATTCATATTCCAGTGGTAGAAGCACTCCTTTTAGTCTGATGGTCATGGTCCCTCATAGGGAACCTTTGGGTGGGGGAACACACACTGGGGGGGGGGCGGGGCAGAGGCAAAAAGAGGGTTGAGCAGCAGATGTAGCTGATGTTTCAGCCATGCAGAAACCAGAGGCGTCTATTTACACCCATAGGCTACATACATCCCCCCCCCATCCAGGCAAGCAAGAACCATTCTCACCATTCAAGGACACATTCCAGCTAAGCGAAAGCCCTTGAAGAGAATGCAGAGCAGGCCTGGAGAGGACATGGCCTGGCACAGGGTGAAGTTCTGAGGGCCAGACAGAGAGGATTGAAGGGCCTCTTTCAGCCTCCAGGGCCTCACTCCTGCCATATATCCTTGAAGTCAACAAGGTTTTGCTGTAACTTAACTTGAGCTGAGACTCTCACTCTGTCTTGAACATACTAAGCTGGACCAATTATTCCTTAACTTTACATCATTGTACAATATGTCCAGGAAAACCTGGACATGTCCTCTTTGCGGGGGGGCAACATGCCCATCTAGGTGGATTTTTTACATTTTAAAGGAAATGTCTGGGTTTGGGGGGCTTGGGGGGTTGGGCTGCTCTGCACGCTGTGGCTGCTACCAGCCTGAGTCAGCCCCGGATGCCTCTTTCCCTGGCTTGGGCTGGTAGCAGCTCAGGCTGTCATATTTTTTGCTCTTCAAGATATGGCAACCCTATTACAAATAACACATTACAAAGAACAAGAAGCAGAGATCATAAAAGAGCCCAAGGAATACGACTGAAATAATAGTTCAGGTTTGACACTTCCCAAGTGACACACACTTTTTTTGTCAGAAGCAAAGAGCTGAGAAGTAAGTGCCCCCAAGGGGAAGCCCAGTATATTAATGTCTCCCAAGCAGCTTTTGCATCCCCTATGAATATTCTTCAGAAAAGTCAAAAGCTATTTTAGGTATACCTGTAAACACCTGTATGAAACTTCTCTTCTGACACCATATCTTGGGCTATGCTCATACTTGCCTATTTGCTGGAATGTTGCTTTTATTAGGGTTGTCAGGTCAGCAGTACCCCAGATCCTGGGATTTTGAGGCCTAAACTTGAGGTCTAGAGGCATGCCACAGTGATGTCATGATGATGGGTCCTGGTGATGTCATTAAGCATGACACATTAAGTAATAACCATAGTGCAGAACCTGAAAAGGAAGATGGCCTTGCAACCTATGTTTGTTGTGAACTGCTCTTGTGAACAACTGGTGGTAATGATGCAAAGCCAGTCAGTACTGTATATATTTTTACTTTCCTTATGACCTCCCTATTTACACACCCTGATCACCAACCCTTATACCATTATACACTTTTTTACTTTTTAAGGTGACTCTTTAAGACATGCTTGCTTGTTCAGAAAACAACACCACCACATTTAGGAGTTCATAGGAGCACATTGCATTAACATCAGCATACAAAATCAGCTGTGGTGCAGGTCTTCCTGTCTGGCATATAAATCAGTCTCACAGAAGTGGGGAGCAATCTGGTGGGAGTGGGGGCACTAGCACAAAACAGGTTAACTTCCCCAGCCTCTGATTGGAACAGAAACACACAGAAACAATATATTCCCAAAGCTCAGTGTTTAAGACACAGGATGTGCCAGGAGTTGTAGTCCACCAAAGCAAAAATGGCAAATGTCACAGCAAAAACAGACCTTCACAAACTTTAGACACAATTTATTCACCAACCTCTGTGTTTAAGACATGTGGGGGAGAGGAGCCCCCCCAAAAGCACTGGGCTGTAGAAACACATTTTGTGAATTAAAATAGCTTCAGGCTCTGGGGAGGGTCTCCTCATGAGCCAGGAGGAGTCTCCAGGCAGCTCCCAATATATGTGATTTCAGTTACACATGCGGAGGCCCAGAATGTAACCCAGGCATAAATTGGGAGTTGCCTGTACAAACGAATTAACAAAAAAAAAACCTTAACATTCAAGAAAAATAATACAGAATGGCCTATTGACTTTCAGTCTCTCTGTGTTTGCATATTCATTCTATCTGCAATTATCTCTCTCCATACTCCAGGAGTGGAAAACCCCTTTTCAGCCAGATGAGCAATTTCCCTCATGCAGAACCTTCTGGGGCCCACATATCACTGGACAAAAAGCAGATGGAGCAACAGGTGCCACTCTTGCCTTAGTACAGTAGGTAACAGTCCAGCCTTGCCAAAGCCAGGGGTTTCTACACCCACCCATATTCCACATATGCATTTCTCCAATGGGGCAAGTGAGAGGCATGATCATGATTCAAGGACACCTTCCAGCCAGGCAAAAACACTTGAGGAGGGTGAAGAGCAGGGCTGGTGAGGGTGAGACCTGGGGACAGTTCTGAGGGCCAAGCAGAGAGGATTGGAGGACCTCCTTCATAAGCCAAGGTCTGATGTTCCCCACCTCTGCCAAACACCCTTGAAATCAACAAAGGTTTTGCTGTAACTTGATGGAAGCTGAGACTGTCATTCTCTCTTGAACACGCTAGGCTGCAGTAATTCTTTCTGAACTTTGTGTAATTGTAAAAGAAGCTCATGGGCTTTACTTACACGTACCTAGAATAACAAGGAGAGCTCACAAAAAAAGCCCAGGGGGTACAGCTGAAATAATTGTTCAGGTCTGACACTTCCAACACCTTTTGTCGGAAGTAAACAGCTCAGAAGAGACCACAAAAGTAAGTAAGTGCCCTCAGGGGAGATGCACAACACACTGATGTCTCACAAGCAAGTTCTACATCACCAGTG